ACTAGTGGTATAGTACTATCTATTGTTCCTCTGACCATTCGCTCCATTATTATGTTGTTATGAAATAAAGTCCACGTTATTTATGGTGTTTTCCTTCATCTGTACTAGCAGTTCTTATTTTTAATTTTTTGCTTTCAGAGAATTGTATAGTTTTAGTACTTAATATAATATGCCATATATATATATATATATATATATATATATATATATATATATATAATCACTGTGACTTTTTGTGAACTCCATAAATTGTATATTGAGTTCAGATAGGTCTTAAATCTATTTTCCCACTGGTCCCATGTCTTATATACACAGTAGGTTCTCAATAAACTTTTGTTAAGTGAAATTATTCCCTTAGTCTGAGATGCCTTTTTTATTCATGGATTGAAATGACTCTTACACAGATTGCTAAATGTCTGTGGGTAGATTGCAAAATCTCTTAAACTTTTTGGCTTGAAACTAGTAACGCCTTTCCTCAAAGGATTAGGTTATAATTAACTAGTAAAATTCTTTGAAGATGAAAAAGTTAAAGTTGAACCTATGATTATCCTATTAAAGGTAAGCTTTTAGTATCAGTTTTGTAGGTAAAAGCTTTCCCAAAGCTTGAAGTTAATAAAATGGTGCTGAAGTAATCACTTTGCACATATGTACATCTTGTTCATTTGCTTTACTTAAATCTCTAGATTTTCTTAGAGGGAGGGATCTCTTTGTAATGCTATTTATTCTGAGGTTTCTGTTACAGAGCCAAGTAAAGATTGAAACCCTTCCATAAGAGAAGCACTATAAAAAAAAAAAAAAAAAGAGAGAGAGAGAGAGAGAGAGAGAGAGAGAGAGAGAGAGAGAGAGAAGTACTATAGTCAGTACAGCGGTTAGGATGATGTGCCTCATATTATACTTAAAACTGCATTATATGCCAGAGGTCCTCAAACTTTTGTATACTAAGAATCATTTGGAGGTCCTCATTAAAAATCTCACCTCAAGAAATTCTAGTTTAACAGGTTATGTCTCTTCAGTGAGCAATTCAGGTGACTTCTGGTTCAGGTAATATGTGGACAACACTATGAGAGATGCTCTGAATGGAACTGAAAAAAGCCAGTAGAATATGAGAGACTGGCCAATAAACATAAATTCACTAAAATAGATAATCAGAGTCATGTAATAACTCAAATTGTTTCAAGTTATATAATAAATATTTTATTAATTTTTATTTGGGAAAATCTTGCCTTTTTTTTTTTTTTTTTTTGCTTGCTGTTGTGTGGAATTAAAAGGAAATAGGATGGCCTGGCTGGGTTTGGCTTGCGGATTGAAAGGTCCCGGGTTCGATTCCGGTCAAGGGCATGTACCTTGGTTGCCGGCACATCCCTAGTAGGAGATGTGCCGGGGGCAGTTGATCAGTGTTTCTAACACTATCCCTCTCCCTTCCTCTCTGTAAAAAAAATCAATAAAATATATTAAAAAAGAAAAGAAAAAAGAAATAGGATGCTTAACTGGCAAGGGAGATACCATCCATGATCATTGAAGATGGTTTTCCCAGGGTGAAGCTTATCCATAGCACTCCTGATGTGCTTCCCCTGCGATTTCCCCAAATGTGAGAGACTCGATTGCATAATTTGTAGTAGTAGGGGACTCCATTCCTGCTCTCCCCTGAGCGGGGGCGGGGGGAGGGGGGCGATGAGGGGGAAGGGGAAGGGAGGAAAGTAATTTTTTAAAAAAAATTAAAGAACTTAAAATCTTGCTAGAATCTCAAGACTTGGATTTTGAATACCACTTAAATACCAGGTAAGCTGTTAGTATCAGTTAAAATTTTTTTCTTATATTCTATTTTTATTGGTTTCAGAGAGGAAGGGAGAGGGAGAGATAGAAACATCAATGAGAGAGAATCGTTAATCAGCTGCCTCCTGCACGCCTATACTGGGGATCGACCCGAAACCCGGCTTATGCCTTTGGGACCCTCTATCCACTGAGCCAAACCAGCCAGGGCTGTTAGAATCAGTTTTGAATACATAATGCTAATTGAATATAATTATTTGCCAAAATATATTGTACAGTTATAGCTAATAGAGGGGAAAGGACAATTAGTAGATTCTTCAGATAAGTTTCAGGGTAGAGATGGATCTTAAGAGTGAGTGGTGGAATTTGATTAAAAGGAGTAATGCTGGCTTGGATATCTAAGTTGGTAAAGTAGTTTCATAGGTATCAGTTTTTGTGTTCATAAACATGCCTTAGCTCAGAGCAGATGACATTGCTTCCTCACCTAGTGCTGGTTGAATATGTTATAGCACTGCTTTTCAAATCCTAATGTGGGGAAGAATCATCTGGGGATCTTGCCAAAAATGGTTTCTGGTTGGAGTGGAGCACATTTGGAGTGGCAGATGTAGTCTATTGAGGATAGTTTGGAAGTAGCTACCCAGTTTTTCTTGGGAACTTAACTGATAGGTTGTGATGCATGTGGCACAACTAACATGCTTATTATTCTTAAATAGACACTCTGATATTTGAATTTTTAGTTTTTCTCTTTGTGCCTTTTAGGAAGTGTGTGGTCTTGTGGCTTTAAAACTAGATCATTGTAAATGTATTAAATCACAAAATTATAAATTGGTCTTTCTGTAAAAATTTTTTTAGTAAGTGAATTAATTCTATAGGCTGTAGTTGGGTACTTTTAAATAAACATTGTATTATGTTTGTTTGCTAGAGGCTGTATTTTTACTAATTATTTGAGTAATATAGTTGTCTTGCTTTAGGATAGTATGATATAGAAGTCTGCATTTATGAAATGGATAGTTTTTATATATATTTTAAAAAGAAAATTGTAGCATAAAAGGAGACCAAATTCATATCTTTATATGGTGCTATATTGAAAATGATCATATGTTCCTTTGAAATACTGATCTAAAATGTCAAGTGACAAAGTTTTAGCATATGAACTAAATTGTCTCCAAAGGAAAGATCCTTCCCTCCACTCTCTTTTTCATCTGCCTAGTATCCAAGGAATTGCCTGGTGAAGAGAGCTGCTGTGCAGATAGTGATTTTCTGGTAGTTTGAGCATATGCAGCTGGGGAGGCAATAATGGAAGTATGGTAGATGGAGGTTTCAAAAAATTGAAAGGGAACATAAAAATAAATACGTGACCTGGCCCAGTGTGGCTCAGTTTTTTTAACATCATCCCATGCACCAGGAAGTTGTTGGTTAGATTCCTGGTGAGGGCACAAGGCTGGATTTTGGCTTGATCCCCAGTAGGGGCATGCAGGAGGCAGCTGATCGATCTTTCTCATCCATGTTTCTATCTCTCTCTCCCTCTCCCTTCCTCTCTTTGAAATCAATAAAAACATATTAAAAATAAATAAGTAAATAAATAAATATATGTGTTAAAGATAATGGAAATGAGGCTTCTCTCTGAGAAGGGCTTAGAAACAGTAAAGGAAAGGTGTGGAATTAGAAGCATTAGTGTACACACATTTGTTGTTATTTATGCACAGATAAATAAATAAGCATAGATGTGCGTGTATGTACATTTTTTTGTATATTTTTTAGTCTCTCTGCTAAGAGGACTCAGTAGCAGTGAAACCCCCAGTAACAGAGAGTGCACCTATTGCTCAGATGTTGGTTTCTAGGTACCATCATTGACTGAAAGGAACCAGGGCTCCTTGCAGAAATAGCTAATTCTAGGGTTATGAAGGGAAAGTACAAGATTAGATATTTCTTTTGTGGCAGAAATAAAGAAATATTCAAAATGATGGGGACAAGTCAAAAGGATACAGGAATCACTTTAAAAGGGCTCCAAGTGGCCACAATTTTTATAAATTGAGTAATTAGAGGCCTGGTGCATGAATTCGTGCGTGGGTGGGGTCCGGCCAGCCTGGCTAGGGTTAGGGGACATGGGTGGTTGGCTGGCTGGCCTACTGGTTGAACTCCTGGTCGAGGGGACAATTTGCATATTAGCCTTTTATTATATAGGATATACATTGAGTGGCCAGATTATTATGGGTTCAGAGATCATAATAATCTGGCCACTCAGTATAGATTCCACAGTGCCTATTGATATAAATGCATGAGTAAATGAATTTGGCAAAGTGGGGAGGAGAAAGCTCTATAAAGTAGAATGCCAACTAAAAAAATGTAGAAGGTATGATGGGATTAGATAATCATTGTCATAAATGTATTGAATAAAGGCAAGAATAGTCAATGGATGCTAGGGCTGGTGGGTGGTGGATTGATGAAAAACAGGATATTGCTGAATTATCAGAATAATTCTACATACTCTAATGAAATACAAAGGGAAAAATAAGACTTTATAGTGGAGAAACCTGGTGGTCACCAACTTGACCAGCTGATCAAGTTGATAATGATGGGTAGATATAGTATTAGTATACACAATATAATTCTGTATATTCTTTCCAAGAATATATGGCCTGAATCTGGTTATGAGGAACATCAAATAGACCCAGATTGAAGTTCATCCTTGGGAATGAAAGGCTTGGTACTCTTTACACAAGGTCATAAAGGATGGGGAAAGATTAAAGAACTGTTTCATATTGAAGGAGACAGAGATCTGATAACTAAATACAATATGTATTCCTGGATAGGATCCTGAACCAGAAGGGAACGAGAGACTTGTTGGGACATTTGATAAAATTCATGTGTCTGGATTCGCTCTGTGTTATGTTAGTGTAATTTCCTGATTGGGTGGGTTGTATGATGCTAATGTAACAAAGTGTCCTTGTTTTGGGAGGTACATGATGGAGTATTTAGGAGAAGAATGAGGAATCATATCATGAAATGATATACATACATCTTTTCTGTAGGCTTGAAACTGCTTTAAAATATAAACAACACTGAACATACTTCTAATTTTTGTTTCTGTAGTTACAGATTAATACATTTTGTTACACTTGTAGAGTGATTCATTAGTAAATATTTATTGATTGAATAAATACTGTACTTTATGCAATTTAACAATTCTGTGTGCTTTAATAGTAAATGCATTTTTTACTGTCTTTCAGAAATCTGAAGTTGATGGTAGTTTAAGTGATAGCCACGTGTCTCCACCAGCCAAACGCACTTTGAAACAACCTGATTCTGTTTGCAAAGACAAATCCAAATCACGAAGTACTGGTCAGCGAGAGGAATGGAACATCACTGGACAGGCCAGGTGAGAAGCAAGAACTCATCGATTATTTTTTGAAGAATGATTGGATGTGATTTAGAGTTGATGTTAATGTTAATTTTCTTAAATTGTAAAGCTGCTAGTATTTAAAACTACTTAGAAATTGTATTAAATTTACCTTATAATTTCTGTATATATATTTTTTCTAAATATGTCATAAAATATATGTTTTGTAGTATATAATAGTAACTTATTACAAAAACAATTGGATTTTGATAGGTCTTAAATATGCATATATATATATATATATATATATAGGCCTGAAAAAAATTAAAATATGTTTTTATTGAGTTTAGAGAGAAAGGAAGGGAGGGAGAGAGAGATAGAAACATTGATCGCCGTCTCCTGCATGTCCCCTATTGGGGATTGAACCCACAACCTGGGTATGTGTCCTGACCAGGAATCAAACTGGTAACCTCTTAGTGCATGGGACAACACTCAATCAACTGAATCATGCCAGCTGGGATAGTCCTGAAAATTTAAGTAAGAACATACGGTTAGAATTACTTTTTTATTTGAAAATAGGTAAATGTTCCCTTTATAAAATTATTAAAGACTAGAGGCACAGTAGGATCCCTCAGCCTGGCCTGCGGGGATCTGGCTAAAACTGGCCTGATGCCTGGATTTGTCCAGGCTGTGTATAATTTAACCATTTAATTTTTCTAAAATGTATTTTTATTGATTTCAGACAGGAAGAAAGAGGGAGAGAGAGATAAAAACATGTACGATGAGAGAGATCATTGATCGGCTGCCTCCTGCACACGCCCAACTGGGGTTTGAGCCTGCAACCCAGGCACGTGCCCTTGACAGGGAATCGAACCCATGACCCTTCAGTCTGCAGGCCAAGGGATAACTGTTTAGTTTTGCATGCAACTAAAATTCATTTGGAGCCAAGACTTGTGAATAAATTGATCAGGTTGAGGTAATGTTATGTTGGGTTCAAAGCCAAAGTATATTTATGAATAAAATAGATTAAAAATTTTTTTTTAAAATTTAAATTTAAAGTTAAATTTTTTAAACTTTAAAAACAAGGTTTTAAGTGGATTTTGAGGTTGATTCTAGAGAATTCTACATGTATAATCTAAAGAATGCCCTGTTAGTACGTCAGTTTCATTACTTTATACTCAAATTCATATGCCAGGAAAATTGTGTACTTGGTATACAAAGGTACTAAAGATGGAATACTTTATAAGAGGTGTATTAGAAAATATAATTTTGTTGTTTTCTGGGGGAAAGGAGGGCTGGAGTTTTTGTTTTTGTTTTGACAGTCTGAAGGCAGATAGTAGTTTGAGTTTTTGTTCATATCTTTTAATATCCTAGCTGTGACCTTTATTGGGCAGGGATATTATGATTAATAATTATAACACTTAACATTTATGATTTAACACAAAGAGCTACGGAGTAACTAGAAACATTAGAATATTTTAATTAAAAAATTATGCAAACCACATAAATAGAAGATAGTTATACTATATATTAACTATTTTCTAAATATCCTCCCTTTGTTTTTATTTTTTTTCCTTTGAAAATACTATCGTTGGATTAAAAAAATACTTTGATAACTTTATACTGACAGCTCTTTTATTTGTAACAATTTAGTTTCGAGCTTTCTATATATAGTTAGGTATATGGTGACTGTTTTCTTAAGTCTTTATGTTTTGATGACCACTTAAGTATCTTTAACATTTTTCTTCCTCCACCCAAGAGAGAGAATTACACAATGACTGTTTTGAGAAATTAATTTTTATTGTCAGTTTAGAATGTGTAATAAAATATTTGAATAAATTATTGTATTGGTATTCAGTATTGTTTTTTCCTTACAAATTATTGTTTGAATAAATTTGTTATTGCTTCAGTTTTATTTTGTCAACCAAATCAATAGTAAATGTCTGTGACAATTGCTGTTAATGGCCTCAGTTAATTTATGGCACATGTTAGACTTAAGCCTTTTATTTGGATTTTAATTTACAGTTGAAGAGACAATAAATTCTATTATTTATTTATTTAAAAAAAATATATTTTATTGATTTTATACAGAGAGGAAGGGAGAGAGATAGAGAGTTAGAAACATCGATGAGAGAGAGTCATCGATCAGCTGCCTCTTGCACACCCTCTACTGGGGATGTGCCCACAACCAAGGTACATACCCTTGACCGGAATCGAACCCGGACCCTTCAGTCCCCGAGCCGACGCTCTAGCCATTGAGCCAAACCGGTCCCGGCAATAAATTCTATTATTAAAGCTGTTCTTAAAGTAATGAAATGACTCCGTATACTTTATTAATTGGTATATTATCAATGTTAGAGTAAAAAAGTTCTTTACTCTTTAAAAAGTAATACTATATTACTGACATTTTAAAAATTAAAATGATTCCAGCAGTATTGCATTTCTTGCTTCTTTAAATAAATATTGATATGTTTGCATATTAAATATAATTGTGTTCTAGGTTAACTTCTCAGCCTGGTGCTACATTATCAAACGGACATAGTAGTCTATGTGAGTATTCTATTATGAAACTGGGTAGTATTGAAAATTTTTTAATGTTATTAGAACTAAAGCATTTAATGTGGGTGAATAGATTGATTTACTAGTATGCTCAGCATACAGTAATATTGACTGGATTTCAGTCACAATAAATACATACGTAATTGTTAAATGTTGAAAAATCCGTACGAAGGAAATAATTTAAATTATTAAGACACAGTGTAAACATTTATAGAAGTGTTAGATTATTGGATATTAAAGCCATTTAAGAGGTTATATTAAACCTCTTGTGATCTTTTATTTTTTACTTTTTTTTGTCCCATAAAATTGAATGCTTTTTAGTGTTTAAAATAGCATTCTTGTGATCTTTTAAAAGTAATGTTTTGATTTCCCCCCTCTTTTTATACTCTGTGCTTTGAAATGAAAATCCTCTCTCTTTTTGTAGCCCTTCGAAGCCATCCCCTTCGAGGGGAAAAGAAGGGGGATGGAGACCTTTCTTGTATGAATGGGGATATGGAAGTCAGAAAAAGTTGCCGTTCCAGGAAAAACAGATTTGAAAGCGTGAACCAGAGTTTGTTATTTGACCAACTAGTAAATAGGTATGAATGCTTATGTAATAAGCAGCTTCCTTTAATTATTGGAATAAAAAGTAATTTTTAAAATTGATTTCAAAGGGAAAGGGAGAGGGAGAAAGAGATTGGAACATCAGTGATGAGAGAGAATTGTCAATCGGCTGCCTAATGCACACCTCCCACTGGGGATAGAGCCTGAATTCTGGGAATATACCCTGATTTGAACTCTTGGTCTATAAGTCAACACTCAACTCCTGAGCCACACTGGCTGATTTTTAAGACAGTTAAGGTTTTAAAAACAATTTAGGCACTGACTTAGTAATAAATAAAATTATAACAATGTGAATTAACAGTGGTTAGCAGTGATTGTAATTTTCTAGTCAGTCTACTAGATTTAATACAATTTATGTAATAGTTAAAAATTTTCTCATCGTTTTTAAGCTCGCTCATAGATACTATAAAAATAATTTTATTCTGTATTATAGTCACTTAGTATTTTCTCATTTAACATTTGTATCTTTGACAATTTTCAAACATTAAGTTCCATTATTAATACATAATTTGCTTAGTTAAGATTTTGAATTGAAGGTCCTTTTGAGACTGGGTATGTGGAATGTAGCTAGTGAGCCAACCTAGCTGATTGCTCAGTATCAACATACGATGAAACGTTATTCTTCTCAGGTAATAGGTTATTATACTTAATTCTTGCAAATACCTGAAGAAGGGAGATCAGTATAATCCCTATTTGATCGGAGAGGAAATTATATTCTGTAGTGGTAATGTCAAATTTGAATATTAGTTATTTTTTTCTATTTTTTACATTTTTCTGTTACAGTTTACATTCAGTATTATTTGTATTAGTTTCAGTGTACTTTTGTTAAATACTTAGACCAGTGTTTGGAAACATAGTGTTTGAAAAGTGAAATGTTCTAATGTCAGCATGTATTTTGTGGATGTCAGTATTCTCTAATTTCTAGAAAGACCTGTTCTATTACCTTATTAACTTTAAACTTTTTACAAATCCTATTCTCTATATAGAATAAAATAAAAAGATTAAATTAGTTACTTTTTTCAGTGCCTTGGATTTGGTAGTCAATTTTTTTTTAGGTGCATTGTGGATTTGACTATTTGGAGCCTTATAAACAAAAGTCTTCTATTTTGTAAGTTTTACTTTAATAATATATTAAAGTAGAAGGTCTTTTGGTTTTATCTTTTTTGGGGGCATTATCTTCTGATGGATGTCAGTTTAAAGAGGGATGTACTGTTACATACCATCAGAGATGATTTAGTTATGCTTTGGTGAAGATCTCTTTTATGTGAATGACTCAGTGTATGGTCCCACAATTGTCTAAACCCTCGTTTTATTTTATGATTATAGTACTGCTGAAGCTGTACTGCAAGAAATGGACAACATTAACATTAGACGGAATCGTCGATCAGGAGAAGTGGAACGACTTCGAATGTGGACAGATACAGAATTTGTGAGTATACTTTAACAATCTTTGCAGTTTTTATTTATATTGAGGAATAAAAAGGGAGAGTGAACAGCATTTGGACTTTGGATTAAGAGAATTGCTCCTTCTTCATTTTTATCTTGGGACTTTTTTGCTTTCTTGCTGCTTTTATCCCATCCCCTACTTGCCACAATTCCCCTAAAGATCCGCTCTCTGCTTTTGCCAGAATAGTCATCTGAAAATGCAGTTCTGATTTTGTTACTTTTCTGATGTAAAACTTCAATGGCTTTTTAATGTGTTTTGAATTAATTAAAAATATTTTGGCTTTCATAATCTGTTTTCAGCTTTTATCTTCTCATTACTATTGCCCAAATATAAACAAGTCATTTTTGTTCATCTATCTTTTACTTCTCTTAATCCTTCTGGTTAGGGACTGATGCAATCCTTCCTTGTTTCAAGGCTCATTTCAAATGTTGCCTTGCTTCCCTGCCCTTATCAAGAAGATGTTGTCTCTTTGAATTCTACTTTGTACCTTTCTTTATGGTGTTTAACTTTGTTTATTTCCCTTTATAGTTACCTGTGATTTATTTTCATCCTATTAGTTTGTAATTTGCTTGCATGAGACAGTATTCCATGGCATTATATTTTACAATTTTCAAATATTTTATAAGTTTTATTTGTTTATTTCCTTGTCCTTTAAATTTATTGAATTCAAAAAGCTGTTTTCATGAATCTGTGACTTGTAAATAGGCGCTCAGTGAATTTTATTGAGTAGACATGTCCCAGTGGATTATACTATTTATTGCCAATAATAAATTCCATGTTAATATTTGACAGATTTCTTTCTTTAAAAGGAAAACATGGATATGTATTCAAGAGTGAAAAGGCGGAGAAAGTCACTGAGAAGAAATAGTTATGGGATTCAAAATCATCATGAAGTCTCTACTGAAGGTGAAGAAGAAGGTTTGTATAACACTTTATGAAATAAATACTAGAAAGTTTAGGTGGAAGAAAAAAATATTCAGCTGAAAACGGTTTGGCTCAGTGGTAGAGCGTTGGTCTGCGGACTGAAAGGTCCCAGGTTCGATTCCGGTCAAGGGCATATATAATACATTGGTTGCTGGCACATCCCCGGTAGGGGGTGTGCAAGAGGCAGCTGGTCAATGTTTCTCTCTCATCGATGTTTCTAGCTCTCTATCTCTCTTCCTTCCTCTCTGTAAAAAAATCAATAAAATATGTTAAAAAAAAAAAAAAGAAAAAAAAATTCAAGTAACATGTAATATTGCCAATTAGGTGAAGTTTGGTTGTAGGGGTATATATTTTGTATAATTTGAAATAATTTTTATTCAACTGGCATTCTAAGTTTCTATTTTCTGCATTGGAAAAGTGCCTTTACTATACTCTCTACATTGTTGTAATGTATCTAATTTGTAGCTATTGATAGTCCTTAATGACCTAATTTACATTTGCCATGAGCTGATTTGCTTGCTAGGTCAGGCCTTTTTTAATATTTAGATACCTTCCAATCAGAAGCCTCTAAACAGACTCACTTTCTGCCATAGTTTCTAAATCTCTAATTACTATATTTGGGTCCCAAATTTAGTTATGGACTGAGGAGTATACTAGTTTACTACTTTTTTTTTTCTGAGGCATGTCTATGTTCTGAACTGAAGAACCCCAAATTGTACAGCTGAAGCTGGAACATGATGAAAGTACGTTTGCCCCAAGAATTATAAATTAATGACCAGCACATCTATAGGATGTGCTGGTCATTAATTTATAAATTTATTAATTAATGACCAGCACATCTATAGGATGTGCTGGTCATTAATTTATTAATTCTTTGGGAGTTCATCTTCTTTATTGTATTGAATTGGATTTTCAGATGATTTGGTGTATTGTAAATACAGGGTACTTGTATTTTACTAGACAGTTTTACTCGTTCCCGTGGTTTGTATAGCTTAGAGAGAAGAATAGGTTTATTACTCTTATTCTGTAATTAATATATTAGCAAGTTATGAAGAACTGATATTTCTAATGAAGGTACTTTATTGAACAAATATTGTTACAGCTAGCACCTCTATATTGCTTTCTTTTGGAGAAAATCAGTATATGTAGGTGAGACAGATTTATAATATGGTTTTTGCCTTTTTATTAACTGAACATCTTGGTGGAGTTTTCAAAGTAGATTGGACACATACAGCATTTCCTCCCATATTAAATAGTATTATTGTATAGGTTTTAAAAAAAATTTTTTTTTAAGGTTTTGGAAATGTAATTTGGCATAAGTAATTAATAGTATTATTTAGATAAGTTACATTTTATTTGCTGATTTTCTCTTTTCCCTAATAATAAAAAATTTAAGAACTTAGAATGAGCTTTCAGATGTTACCAATAAAATATAAAGTCTCCTATTTCACTCAGCATCACTGGCAATTAAAAATTTTTCCTGTGCCTTGCCGAGAACGGTTTGGCTCAATGGATAGAGCTTCGGCTTGGGGACTGAAGGGTCCCGGGTTCGATTCCGGTCAGGGGCATGTGCCTTGGTTGCGGGCATATCCCCAGTGGGGGGTGTGCAAGAGGCAGCTGATCGATGACTCTCTCTCATCGATGTTTCTAACTATCTCTCTCCCTTCCTCTCTGTACAAAATCAATAAAAATATATTTAAAAAAAATTTTCCTGTGCCTTAATATGATTGCATTGTATTGGCAGTTCTTGTAGTTAAAAACTTAATCCTAAAGTATATTGTACTTAAGGACCATAAGCCTATAAATTTTTATTAGATTTTTATTTTAAACTGTAAATAGATGCCACATCTTAGCTATAGCCAAAAAGTTTTTAAAACAATTTTAAAAAACAAACTTTTGTGTTTGTGTATATTTTAATTTAGTTTTTTACATTTATAGTTAGGTGAATTATCATAAAACAATCACTAATGTCAACAAATAACCTATAGTATTATCAATACCCTAGAAGCCTGTTTCATGGTCCCTCCCAATATCTACTGCATTTTCTTACCAAGTATAATTAATCCTTACTTGTTGTCAACAGGCCTCACAAACTGTTATACTGCCAACAATAATTGCTTTTGCTGTAACATTAATAATTGTCTTGTAAACATATTTTTTGAACTACCAAGTAGTGTTTGAATACTAACCTAATCCAGAGGTTACATAATTGGACATTGAATGATGTTTGCTATAGTAAAATGCTGAATCATAAGCAAATCAAGAGATCAAATATGATCATATTGATTTATTTAGCAGGTAACTATATTGATTATTTATTTGTAGGAAAGGCATTTATTTGTAGAAAAGAGTATCACCTGAGGATATTCTTCCATTGATTTTGAGGGAAAGTGGGAGAGAGAGGGAAAAACAGAGAGAAATATGGATGTGAAAGAACCACGTTGATTGGTTGCCTCCTGCTCGAGCCCTGACCAGGGTTTGGCCAGGGAGGAATCTGCAACCGAGGTACTTGGCCCTCAATTGGAATTGAACCTTTGGTCTCAGGTTGTTGCTCTATCCACTGAGCCAAACCTGCTAGGGATATTGATTTATGCTCTATGATACAGAATTGATACTTTTATTTATTTTATTTTTATTTTAAATCAATTTATTTATTTATTTTTGTTGATTTCAGAGAGGAAGAGAGAGGGAGAGAGAGAGAGAAACATCAATGATGAGAGAGAATAATTGATCAACTGCCTCCTTCACACACCCTACTAGGGATCAAGCCCACAACCCAAGCATGTGCCCTTGACCAGAATTGAACCCGGACCTGTCAGTCGCAGGCCAACGCTCTATCCACTAAGCCAAACCAGCTAGGGCCAGAACTGATACTTTTAAGTGTCACCTGTGCAAATGTAGCCCCTGCTAGGCCTGTGTCGCTCAGTGGTTGAGCATTGACCTATGAACCAAGAGGTCATAGTTCGATTCTGGGTCAGGGTGCATGCAGTTGCAGGCTTGATTCCCCCAGTGTAGGGTGTGCAGGAGGCAGCTGATCCATGATTCTCATCATTGATGTTTTTAATTGAAAGTGCTTGATAAACTACAAAGTAACTCCCTCTTCCTTCCTCTCTGAATTCAACAACAATATATTTTTTAAAAATGTAATTCCTGGCTGGTGCAGCACAGTTGGTTGAAAGTCACTGGCTCATGAGACCGGCTCGGTTCCCGGTCAGAGCATGTGCCCAGATTTCAGGCTTGATCCCCATGTGGGGTGTGAGTAGGAGGCAGTCAGTCACTATTTCTTACACTGATGTTTTTCTCTTTCTCTCCCTCTCCTCCCCTCTCTAAAAAATCAGCAAAAATATATTTAAACAAATGAAATATAAATGTTGCGTTCTAGAGTGGACCAATCCTGTGGATTAAAACTTTTGTTTTTTTCTTTTGTGTGTATGGGGAAATTAGAATCTCAAGAGGAGGATGGAGATATAGAAGTTGAAGAGGCAGAAGGAGAAGAAAATGACAGACCATATAATTTGAGACAAAGAAAAACAGTGGATCGATACCAAGCACCTCCAATAGGTAGGAGACACTAAATAACTTCTTTGTTTTTAGAGTTGGTAGCTTGTTCTGCTTCCTCTGTTTAAAAAATTGGTGTTGCTGAATTTAAAAGAATTAACTCTCTTGTAGGTTCCACATAACTTCCTATATGTGCTTCTGTTTATTATAGAATGGAAAGAAAATTTAAGTATGCAGTTGCAATATAGAATTACATAGAACATGTAATTCTCAGTTAAAGAAGCTAAACTTAATAGTAAATATTGCTTTGGTTTTGTATTGCTTTGTAGTTTGTTAAGCACTTTTAATTACAGCAGTTCTTTAGGGCAAGTATCTCTCTGTTCCCAGTAGTTGAGTAATTTAGTCACAGAAGTGGTACATGGCTGCAGCTTGGCCAGTAACATAGGGGTTTGTTTTTTATTTTTATTGAAAAGAAAAATGTTTAAATCTAATGGACATGTAATAAATTCTACAGGTACTATTTTATTGACTTTTTCCAGCTCTTGGGAAATTCTGCCACTATTGATTCCCTTTAAAGTTTTAAAAATTGAGATATAATTCACATATCATGAAATTCACCTTTTTTTCCGGCTTTTAATATGTACACTTCATTGGTTTTTTCATATATTCACTAGAGTGTGCAGTCATCAACACTATATAATTTTAGAACATTTTATTACTTTCACACTCGCCCCTTCCCCCCACACCCAGCCCTGGCAACTACTAATGTACTTTCTGTCTCTATAGATTTGCCTGTATGTGACCTTTTGTGTTTAATTTCTTTCACTTAGCATAATGCTTTAAAGGAAGAATCTAGATCTTTTTACTCAAACCCTTTATTTTCTAAAAACAATGATCATTCTCTGAAAGGTGTCTATTAGAGTTATCTTATTATAAGCTTACCCAAGTACGAGGATACTTATCTACCATAGTTAAGAGTCACTGTTACAGATAGTCCTGTTAATAATGGGGGAGACGTATTGGGACAGAAAAAAGACTGTGAGCTATTTGTCTAGATTAAAAAAAAATAATTAAAGTTCATTGCCATTACACATATTTATGAAGCTATCACAGTTAAGACAATGAACATGTTTATCGACCCCCCAAATTTCATCCTGCCTGTTTATAATCTACTCCTACCCTTCTGTGCCTCTTTGCTTCCAATCTGATCTGATCTTCTTTCTTTCATTATAGATTAGTTTATATTTTATCACATAAAGAACATAGTACATGTGCTTTTTTTTTGTCTTTTACTCAGCATAATTATTATAAGACTCATACATGTTGAACATAACAATAGTGTGCTTTTATTGCTGAGTAGCATTCCATTATATGAATATATCACAATTTTGTTTATCTGTTCATTTGTTTTATGGACATTGGGATTATTGACATTTCTAGTATTGGCTATTATAAATGAACTTGTTAATGAACATTCATGTGCAAATAATTGTTTAAACATATGCTTTGGTTTTTCTTATAATCATTCTTTTTTATGGCTGGAATGTCTAGGTTTTATTGTTAGGATAAGGATACATTTAATTTTCTAAGAAATTTCTCACTGTTTTCCAAAGTGATTGCATCACTTACCTCTTGCTCAGAGAGTATATGAGATTTCTAGTTGGTCCATATTTTTGCCAACACTTGGTAGGGTCATTTTAAAAATTAGCTTTAATATATATATTTTATTGATTTTTTTTTTTTTTTTACAGAGAGGAAAGGAGAGGACTAGAGAGTTAGAAACATCGATCAGCTGCCTCCTGCACACCCCCTACTGGGATGTGCCTGTAATCAAGGTACATGCCCTTGACCGGAATCGAATCCGGGTCCTTTCAGTCCGCACGCCGACGCTGAGCCAAACTGGTTTCGGCTTAAAAATTAGCTTTAATATGCAGTTATTTTAGTTCTAATTTATATTTCCCTAATGACCAATGATTTTGAGTGTCATTTTATGTGATGATTTGCCAATGTTATCTCTGGTGAAGTGTGTTCAAATCTCAGGCATTTTTTCAGTTGAGTTGTTTATTTTCTTATTAAGTTTTGAGAGTTCCTCATGCATTTTGGATATCAGTCCTTTATCAGATATGTGATTTGCAAATATTTTCTCTGTCTATAACTTTTTCCCCTCTTAATAGTGTTTTTCAAAGAGCAGAATTTTGTTAATTTTTAAGAACTCCAATTTATCAATTTAGTAGAAGTTTTCTCTACTCCTTTAATATATCAACTTTTCATTTTATTATTAGTTATTTCTATATTATCCTATTTTTTTTTTTTTAAAGTACCAGCTCATCAAAAAAAGAGGGAAAACACGCTGTTTGATATTCACAGATCTCCAGCAAGAAGAAGCCATATCAGGTATGTTTTATTGGTTTTTGAAAGGAAGAAATATTTACATCTGTCATTTATACACTAGAGGGCCGATGCATGAAGATTTGTGGAACAATGGGCCTTCCTCTCCCTGGCTGCAGAGACTACCTTTGCTCCTGCTCAGAGCTGCCTTTCTGCCTTTGCTCAACCTAGAGGTGCCTTTCCATGCTGCCCAGAGGCCCAGAGTGGCTGGGGCGGTGCTGAAATGCCTGTGTCATCGCTATGGTGACGCAAGTGTCCCGCCCCCTGGCCACTTGGTGCCTGGGTATGCAAATTAACCTACCATCTTTGTTGGGTTAAATTGCATAATTATTCCTGATTGGCTGGTGGTCGTTGCAAAGGTACGGTCAATTTGCATCTTTCTCTTTTATTAGTGTAGATATCCTTTAAATCATACATAATGTATTGCCTTATAATTTTTTAAAAAAAATATATTTTATTGATTTTGTATAGAGAGGAAGGGAGAGAGATAGAAAGCTAGAAACATCGACGAGAGAGAGTCATCGATCAACTGCCTCTTGCACACCCCCTACTGGGGATATGCCCGCAACCAAGGTACATGCCCTTGACCGGAATCGAACCCGGTTCCCTTCAGTCCCCAAGCCGACGCTCTATCCACTGAGCCAAACTGGTCTCGGCTATTGCCTTATAATTATAGTATAGTTATTGATAGTGTAAATGATAATGCCAGTGAGGGACTAAATAGCACTTTTCTTTATTTTTAAATTTTATTTCTCTATTATTGTTGATATTTGATATATTTTATGTTAGTTTTTGGTATACAGCATAGTGGTTAGACAGTTATATAATTCATAAATAACCTCCTCCCTCCGCCCTGATAACTCAAATACTCATTTGTCACCACATAGTTATTACAATACTAGTGGCCTGGTCGACAGATTCATGCACAATGAAAGGAAATCGAAACCTGCTCTCTGACATCCCCAGAGGGTCTTAGAGTGTGGGAGGGCACTCTGCAAAGTTGCTGTCGTATATATAGGGTGTAGAACGCAAATGCAAGTGTGCAGTAAACCAGATTCAGGGCAACAGTGCCCCAGCAACAACAGAACCCACGGTTGAGGGGAAATCACATGGCCCTGCGAGGAATCAGGTTCCTTCCTCATTAGAGAGGTCTTTGAAGATGAGTAGTTTTATTTTTAGCAAGATGGGGCTCTCCCATACTACCATTGTGATTTAAGATCCTACCTTGAGATCTTGCCAAACACGTGGATTGGATGAAGGGGTCTTATGGAATACCCTCATTCACCAGACCTCACACCTCTAGATTTTTTAAGATGGGGATACTTAATAAAGTCTACACTACAAAATAAGCAACTGTCACTGAATTGAGAGTAGCCATTAAAGGAGAATGCACTCAACCACCAAATGAAATCTTTCTGGATGTTTGTCCATTGCTTTGTTATCAGCAGTGCATGGACCAGAATGGACAGTTTAACAGGCATTGAGAAAACAAACAATGTCTGTAGATTCGATTACATTTTGAAAATGAAATGTATTTTAATAAACACTGCCTTTATAATTATTCACAGGGTACCTCTAATTTTTGGGACACCCTGTACATGCAAATACACATATCAATTGCTACCCGTTCTTTTTACATAAAATGTAGTGTATACATTATCCTGCACCTTTTTTCATTTAATTCATTTTAACTGTCTTTTCAGTATTGTGAAACTTCACATTTATGTTATAGTTGCATAATATTGTATTTGTAGATATAGTATAATTTAAAAACTAGTCCTTTATTGAGAGTCAGGTTGCTTTCACTCTTTTGCTATTGTAAAATATGATGTAATGAATATGCTGGAGTAATTGTCATTTTATATGTATACATATTCTTCCTGAACTACTCTATTTATAAGTTGTGGGCTTTCTTGACAAGACTGGTTTGGCTCAGTGGATAGAGCATCGGCCTGCGGACTGAAAGGTTCCGGGCTCGATTCTGGTCAAAGGCATGTATCTGGGTTGTGGGCACATCCCTAGTAGGGGTGATGCAAGAGGCAGCTGATCGATGATTCTCTTTTATCGATGTTTCTAACTTTCTATCCCTTTCTCTTCCTCTCTGTAAAAAATCAATAAAATATATATTAAAAAAAAAAAGTTGTGGGCTCCCTATCCTCCTTTTCTTTCTTTTCTTTTTCTCTGGGAATTTACTATGTTTATACCTCATTAGATATATACTGCATGAGTGCAAGGAGCTTGGTAACTATTTCTGAGTGAATGGATGAATGTGTGTGTTTTCTACTAAGCTAATTTAAATATGATGCTTACAATATGTATTTAAAACCCATTTGCTACTGTAATGATTTTAAAGACTTTACTCTCTTTTTTCTTTTTTTTTTTTATTTTAACTTTACTCTCTTTAATTAGGAGAAAGAAGCATGCTATTCATAGTAGTGACACAACTTCTTCTGATGAAGAACGTTTTGAAAGAAGGAAATCAAAGAGCATGGCAAGAGCGAGAAATAGGTTAGTAAATTTTTTTTTACCATAGTTTTCTCTGACAGAAAAAAGAAAGAACAGTTTTTATATTTTGAATGGGATTCTTATCTGTACTAGCATTTTGCTACCATTGATACTCAACACAATATTTTAGCCTAATGTGCTGATTGGCTTTTGCTTATAATTCTTAGAGGAGACATCTGACTCTGGGTTATTTACTGTATAAGTATTCAGTAAAATGGTGTGTGCAAAGTAAAGAAAGAAGAGCCACAGGGAAGAGGCCAACCTCTACGACAATATTTTTCTCCATACTTTTCCTCTATCCCAAATTCATATAGTGAGGCTGCTTTTTGATGCTTATAATGATTGCATTCAGAGTAAGACTTGGCTCCTAATAAAATTAGGTCAGGAGCCCTTGGCTTTTTATTGGAAATTTTGTTTTAATTTTGGTTGAATGTGTGCCTCTGGTGGTGTTTGCCTAACTAGGTTAAGTGACTGATTACTACATACCTTCCTGAAACCTCAAAATTTTCACTGGGGAAGAGAATCAGTATTTTGTTTTGTAAATAATTAGCTTCAAATTGATAATTTATTCTTTAAAATTTGAGTTAATGTTCTAGCTTATTTTATAATACTAAAGATAGATTATATTTTAAAAGTTTAGATTTGGCAAAGCATTTCTATAATTTATTGTTATGTATTTGTTATAGAAATACCACGTTTTTAGTTAGCAGGTGTTGGAAACTAGTTTGGAATGGTGTAGATTGTATGCAGACAATAAATTCCTTATGTAGTAGATGATGGAAAGAAAATGTAAGAGAAAATCTAAGTTTAAATAAAAGAATTTAATGCCTATTTGATCTGAACTATTCTGATATCTGCTTTGGAAATATGTTTTTGAGAGAAGGTAGCACTCAGAAATGTTATCAAAGTTACATTCATTATAAAAGTCATACTTTTTTGAGGCTGTTTGTAATTTTTTGGTGTTTACCCAAGGTTAAAAGAGAAAATAGATTATATTTTCTAAGGGCAGTAAAATTAAATAATACAATATATGGTTTTAGGTAGTTAAAGATTTAAGTTATACAAAAGATTAAGCTTAGTCTCAAAATGTGGTCTAAACTTGGTTTCCTTAGAATAAAGTGCAAAAACATTTTCTTCAATCATGTAAATTGAGTAGACATATTCACATAATATCTAAGGATAAGTTTAAATATCATAGTGAAACTTGAATTCAGTTAGTGCTCTATATTATAGTTCATATGTGTCCCTCAGCCCGGCCTGCACCCTCTCACAATCTGGGACCCCTCAGGGGACATCCCTCTCGCAATTCGGGACCACTGGCTCCTAGTCGCTGGCCTGCCTACCTGTGTGGTTGCCCCTACTGCCTCTGTCTGCTTGCCTGATCGCCCCTAACCACTCTGCCTGCCTGATTGCCCCTAACTGCCTCTGCCTTAGTCTCCGTCTCTATGGCTTCATCTGGAAGGACGTCCAGAATGACATCTGAAATGACATCCAGAAGGTCGTTCAACTGTCTGGTTTAATATTATGCTTTTATTATTATAGATAATATGGAACATCAGATAGGTTAAGTTTTCTGAGTTGGAATAGATTGGCCTTTTTGGACAAATAGATTATTGGCCTTTGCTTTATCTAGTGAATATGTTTATTTTTGGTTTGTTGAAAATTTTTTAGAAAAGGTAGTTTAAAAATACGGAGTTTTTTGATGTTATTTTCTGGTTTATGATAAAAAGGAGAAAGGTGAAAATGTGTTAGATATTTAAACTTATTTTGACATTAAAAATGTGAAACTTGAATTTTTTATGAATTTCAGGTGTTTGCCTATGAATTTTAGAACAGAAGATTTAGCCAGTGGTATTCTCCGAGAACGTGTTAAAGTGGGCACAAGTTTGGCTGATGTTGATCCAATGAACATTGATAAATCAGTAAGTTTTGGAGATGTTTTTCTAGAAGTACCTTTTTTTTTTTTTTTTTAAAGGTCATGTCTTGTTTCTAAACCAACACACAATAAATACAGAAAAATCTAGATATCACCATTGTGTGTGTGTGTGTTGAAAGCTAGCACTCTTATCACATATGATGTCTACTCAAATTTCCCCCCCCTTTTTTTTTCATTTCACTGTTGCTAGAGCATATGGTGAAAAAATGGTTAGGAAATGAGGATGATCCTCATAAACCATGATTAGGCAATTGGTTATTATTGAAGCTGCTGTTTAGGTTTCCAGATCAGATTTGCATTTTAGATAGATCGCTCTGTCTATGATTTAGTTAATGAATTTGAAGGCAGCAAGATTGGCTTTAGGGAGACTGGTTCAGAAGTAGTTGTAATCTAGTAATCTGGAGTAATGGTCACAGTAGAAAGAAAGTAGGGTAACGATGGAAGGAGGTAGCATATGGATTTGACATAATTCAGTAGAGAATTTGGTATGACAGAATTTGATGAATTAATTGCTTTTGGGGAATGAGGGAGAGAAACAAGTTGAATATTTTACCCAGGTTTCTGGCTTAAGAGATTGGATGAAGTAATGCATGGCTTAATTCTCTGAGGTAGGAGGCACAATAGAAGAAATATGTATTTGAGGTGTGAAGATTGATTTAGTTATAGACATGTTTAGGTATCTGTGGCATATCATAAATTGAAGTAACTTGTAGGAAATTGGTTATTTAGTTTTGGCATTAAGACAAAATATCTGGGCTAGAATTTCAGATATGGATCAACCACATAAAGATAGCTGAGGTTACTATGGTATATGGATAATAAGCACCCAGGAAAGTATATGGTGTGCAAAGAGAAACAAGACTTAGAAAACATGGTAGATTCTTACTGTTAGTAGAATCTTTTCTGCGAGGATACTTGGGAATAAGGTTATTATAGAATATATGTGATTATTCCCATAAACATTTCTACTCAACATAATTTAACCAATTCTCACATGATAGACTTAAGTTATCAAATGAAGTTGTGTATACATTTGAACAGGAAATATTAGCTACCTCCAATCTGAAATCATAGGGGAAAATCTTTATTTTATTTGTGAGGACCTAAGGACATTTCAGAGAGTCAAATCTAGTAGTTCACATTCTCAGAGGATTTTACTTAATGACCTTTGCTTATTTGGTTTACCAGCACCTCGCTCTCTTGAATCTAGTTAACTTTAGGCATTTCTGCCAGTTAGAGTCAACTTACTTCTTTAAAGTATGATATCATATGCAAGAAAATTTAGCTACTTTTAGAGTTTTTTATTTAAACTATTTTTCTAGATTACTTAAGTATTATTTTTCATAGTAAAATATTCATTGTAGAACATTTTCAAGTACCATAACAGAATAAAAAATCAAGGAAAGAAATCTCCCAGTACCCACTGGTCAAAGGCAATCACTGCTAACATTTTGGCACTATTTTCTTCAAGCACTTTCTTTTATTTTTAATTTTTAATTTTTTTTTTTAAATTTCTTTATTGATTAAAGTAACACATATTTATCTTCAACCCCTCCATTCCACCCCCCCCAACACTTCTTTTAGCTAGTTTTTAAATTTACAAACTGTTTTAGATATTTAAATTGTTAGAGGTGGGAGGAATAATCTTTGTTGCATCTTGTGGGAGATCAGTGTTTCTCAAATTTATTTTTTTTTCATTGTTTTTTTCGTAATGACAAAATTACATTTCTCTTTAGGTAAATTTGTGTTAAAGATTAAGATTTTTGTCAGGTAAAGTTGAGTTTTGGTGGGTTACAAGCCATTGTAATAACAAAGATTTTTGTTACCCTACTCCTAAATCAACTTTTGCCCTCTTGGGGGTAAAGTTGCCCCTGCTGAGAATGCATGTGATAGATGGTATTTTGAAAGGCATTTAAATTATTAGCATACATATATAACATAGTATTTCTTATAGATAACCATTAAAGTGTTAGACTAGGCATTGCTCTTGTCCTTAGTTACTATGAGATTGAAAACTGAGAGCTTTATTTGGCTGGACTGACATGTACACTTGAGTTTTACTGCCAACTTTATTTTTCTAACTTATTTCAAAAGTGTGATTATTTTTCACTTTACGTTCAACAATTTCTACTCAGACATGTATTTCTGAATCATAAAACTGTCTCATGTTAAAAAAAAAAACTATAAACAGTTAAAATTATTTTATGTTAAACTTTTCTCCTTCTTTCCAAGGTACGGTTTGATAGCATAGGTGGATTGAGCCATCATATTCATGCACTAAAGGAAATGGTAGTATTTCCACTATTATATCCAGAAATTTTTGAAAAATTTAAAATTCAGCCTCCAAGGTAAGTATTGTTATTACTGTTAATTTGTAAAATTTCAATTAGTAAATGATTTTAAGTATAAATATTTTACATGTATTTATTTAGTGTGTTCTAGCAATACGGATTAAGAAAGAAAATTTGTTTTTGAGTGCTCTAAGGCTGTGGTACTATGTTCTTGAAATTTACACCTTAGCATTTAACTGTCAGGCACAAATCAGGTCTTTAATATATAAGTGAATTGTCCAGATATTTTCCTTGATTTGGCTTTCTAATAGCATTGAGTTTGATGCTCTGTATTGTTTCATCTTTGAAAGTACAATTTCAATGATGTCTTTATTTGACTTGATGGGATATTTTTGAGATTGTAAGCTTGGTAATTTATTTTCATGATCATTTTAATTGTGGTTGATCATGAGGTGATTAAATATTAGAAAAAGGCTAAGAAATTGTTTTAAAGGAGATTGAGCAGAATAAAATATTCTGAAGATGTATATTTATAGATTGTTAGATTTAAACTGCTAAATGTTTTTTTTTTAAGGAGGTTTTTATTCAGATTTGGTTCTAATTTACTTTCCATGTGTTTAAGGATGTAGAAAATCTATTAAAAAGTCATCTTCAGGAGACATCTGTAATATTTTCAACAATAAAGATAAATTAGAAAAAGAGTCTTCTATTTGAGTCATTTAAAAAGTTAGCCTATAATTCTACATTGGCTTTTAAAAATCATGATAGCAATTTATTTGTTTTTTTTACATGATATAAATTGAATTTAAAAAATAATTATTACTTTTAGTATACCCTTGGGATAAACAAAACAGAGAGTTATAGGGAGCAAGTGTCACAAACAGAAAGTAATTCTACTCTTTAGGGATGAAAATTTTGTATATTTGTTATAGATTTCTTTTATACATTTGTGCATATGTTAAATTTATGTTTTGTCTATATTATGCACATGTAAACTTTTAATATAAACGATATTACTTAACAGTACTCTTACATAACTTTGTTTTTTTACTGTATAATAAATTCTAGACACCTTCCATATTAATAATGTACATATTATTTGATACTATACTAGTGTTTTATTTTATAAATGTAACAGTATATCTGTCTCTTATTACTATTTTTTTTTAGTTTTTCACACTTAGAATCTGGTCTGTTGAACATCCATTTAAAAATTTTTAACCTGGCCGGCTTAGCTCAGTGATTAAGCATTGACTAGGCCAGGCCATATGCCCAGGTTGTAGTCTTGATCCTCAGTGGGGGGGCATGCAGGAGGCAGCTGATCAATGATACTCTCTTAACATTGATGTTCCTGTTTCTCTCTTCCTCTGCCTTCATTTCTGAAATAAATAAAAATACATTTAAATTTAAGAAAAAAATAACATTCTTTTTTTATTTTTTAAAATATATTTTATTGATTTTTTATAGAGAGGAAGAGAGAGGGATAGATAGTTAGAAACATCGACGAGAGAGAATCATTGATCAGCTGCCTCTTGCACACCCCCTACTGGGGATGTGCCCACAAGTAAGGTACATGCCCTTGACCAGAATTGAACCTGGGACCTTTCAGTCCGCAGGCTGACGCTCTATCCACTGAGCCAAACCAGTTTCAGCTAAAAATAACATTCTTTTGAGTATTTCTATATGACGTATTCTTAGATGTGAAATTGCTGGGTCACAGGGAAAAACATTTAAAATTTTGATGTATCTTGCCAAATTACTATTTTGATTTAACTGTATTTTTTAGCCTATCAAAGCTTGGTGCTTTGAGAACATCCTTGAGGATATTCAGTGAAGGGAAACATTTGTCTGTGTACTAAAAAGGTTTTATTTGTGTCTAATAATTATAATATTAATACAAAATTATACAAGAGATGTATCCTTTTGTATTGGTTATTAGTGGTGGTGATAACATTTATTAATTTTTTATTCCTCTAGGGGCTGTTTGTTTTATGGACCTCCTGGCACAGGTAAAACCTTGGTTGCCAGAGCACTAGCTAATGAGTGCAGTCAAGGAGACAAAAAGGTGGCTTTTTTTATGCGAAAAGGAGCAGACTGTCTGAGCAAGTGGGTGGGTGAATCAGAAAGGCAACTTAGGCTTCTTTTTGATCAGGTAAGTAAAATCAGAGAATATCTTCTTTAGCATAGTTGATGCACTTAGTCTGTAAATACAGACTGTTCTCGAGGAGGCATATTCTTGAGTCAGTATATGAAATTTAAGATCAGTAATCTAAATATGAATGGTTAAGAAGTATTTAGTAGCAATTTTACAACTATTAATTTAAGTTGACTCACAACACATTTATTGAGGTGGCTACTAGGCTCCTAATACCATGTTAGATGCTTTTGGAAACCTTGGTTATAACATATTTATCATTAGATTGTAGTCTAATTCAGGAAATAGCATAAAAAGCTTAACATGAAATTACACAAAGTAGTACAGTAATTATTTTCATCAGTTGTAAATGTGGTGCTGAAAGAATTTAGCAGTAAGTGAATACTTTTAAAAAATAAGGTGAGCACTGATCAGTATGGTTCAGTTGGTTGGCGTGTTGTCCCATTCACTGAAGGGTGGCAGGTTCAATTCCAGTCAGGGCACATGCCTTGGTTGTGGGTTTGATTTCCAGTTGAGGTGTATGTGAGAGGTGTATGTGAGAGGCTACTGATTGAGGTTTCTCTCTCTCTCCCCCTTTCTCTAAAAATCAATGAAATTTATTTAAAAAATAAAATGTTAAGGTGAATGAATATTGTGTAGGCTTTCTTTACTATTTATATCTAACTAGAGGCCCGGTGCACGATCTACCGGGATAGGGCCTGAACGGGCTGTCAGACATTCCTCTCACAATCCAGGACTGCTGGCTTCTAACTACTGTCCTGCCTGTCTTCCTAATTGCCCTTAACGCTTCTGCCTGCCAGCCTACTCAACCCCTAACCACTCACCTGCCTGCCTGATTGATGCCTAACTGCTCCCCTGACAGTCTGATTGCTCCTAACTACCCTCCCCTACAGCCCTGGTCACCCCCAACTTCCCTCCCCTGTAGGCCAGGTCTCCCCTAACTGCTCTTCCCTGCAGGCCTGGGCCCCTCCCAACTGCCCTCCCCTGCTGGCTTGATTGCCCACAATTGCACTCCCTTGCAGACCTGGTCCCTCCCAACTGCCCTCCCCTGCTGCCCATCTTTTGGTGGCCATCTTGTGTCCATATGGGGGCAGTCATCTTGTGTGTTGGAGTGATGGTCAATCTGCATATTACTCTTTTATTAGATAGGATAAGTACTTATAAATATTATTTTCTAACACTTGTAATAAGAGTCCTCCTGTAAGTTCACTTCGGATTGTTTGAGTTAATGAATGAAGTCATTCATATTTGGCAATGTAACTTACATTTCATTGTGTTTAAAGAAATTCAAGTGAAATAAAAACAATGCTTTCAATAAGCATTCATTGAATGCCCATTGTGTGTCAAAGTTGTTTGTAATTATTAAAACAATTCAAATATGACATTAGTATTAAAAACTGCTGTGTTTAAGATAATGGATCTAGAAAGAGGAATATAGAAAAATTCTTACCTTCATGGTGCTCAGTGTTTATTGGGAAGTCAAACATTTGCAGCCTGTATGCTTTAAGAGAATCCTATATAATAAAAGTGTAGTATGTAAATTGTCCCCTTGCCTGGGAGTTTGACCAAGGGGCGGGGCTGTGGGAAGGAAGGGAAGCTCTGGCCTGCTGCAGTTGCTAGGGACCCTACCAGTGCATGAATTTCGTGCATTGGGCCTCTAGTTTAATAATAATTGAAATATATAAATATAAATAACATTGGTGGATGAGGGAAGAATTAACTTGGAAATGCTGACATTGTTCAATGACTTAAATGCATGAAATAAAACAAAAATAGTATGTTTAAAAAGACTTTTATTGTATAGGTGAATAAATAATACATATCAAAGAGTAAAACTGAAAACAGTAGATATCTGTAGACCTGTGGTTGGATATTACATAAGTAAAAAGGAAAAGGAGATTTCCTTTTTACTTGTGTAATCTTTTTTACCTGATGTATGTTGTATCATTTGCTTATATTAGCTATTAAGAGAAAACAGTAATTATAAAAAATGGACATTAATACAATAAATAACTTTTCTTTTTATACTAGGCATATTTGATGAGACCTTCTATAATATTTTTTGATGAAATAGATGGATTAGCTCCAGTTCGCTCTAGCAGACAAGATCAGATTCACAGGTAATTTTTCTAATCTGATTATGTTAGATTCTTTTTACTCATTGACAGTTAGCCTTAGCCCTTGGATGAGTGCTGTGAGGCTTATAACATGTCATCTGTGTCCTTAAGGAAGATCTTTTTCAGTTAGCACAGGGGTCAGCAAACTGTGTATGACCTGTGGGGCAGATCTAGCCTCATGCCTGTTTTTGTAAGTGATGTTTTACTGGAACATAGCTTGTGTTTATTCCTTTTCCCATTATATGTGGCTGCTTCTGCACTACAAGAGCAGAGTTGTGGCTGAGTTGGTTGGATGTCATACTCTGCACCATAAGGTCATCCTTTCAATTCCCATTCGGGGCACAGGTTGTGGGCTTGATCCTCAGTACCTCAGTAAGGGGGTATGCAGGAGTCAGCCAGGGCTTGATTTTTTCCTCCCCCATACCAATGTTTCTCTGTCCTTATCTCTCTAAAATCTGTAAAAATGTATTTAAATTAAATGTGTATATAATAAAATAGGCAGTTCATTGCTCTTGGGGAAGAATGGGCTTTTCAGTGAATAATGCTGGAAAAATTGGATATCTAGTTGGTGAAAAAATAAAACTGATTCTTCTTCACATGCTATAAAACAATTCCAATTGGATTTTAAGTCCATATTTGAAAGATGATACAAATTCTTTTAGAAGATAATATGAAGGGTTAAGGCTTAGCCCTCAAATATAGTATTTAATACATTTAGATTTTATTTTAAACATAATAAGATTACTAGAGAATTTTGATCCAGGAGCTTGTAATTAAAAATTTTAAATTAAAGGTAACTTTTGGTAGAATTTAAGGTAGGGTGTAATTCTGTTTTTGGTCATGTTTAAAACTTTGTTTTTTGATAATCCTGTACAAAACACTTAAAAATGTTGATAAATCCTAGCAAGCAGGTCTGGCCATTGTGGCTTAGTTGGTTGGGCGCCTCCCGTGCATGGAAAGGTTGCTGGTTCATTCCTGGTCAGGGGACAGGCCTGGGTTGTAGCCTCGATCCCTAGTAAGGAGCATGCAGGAGATAGCTGATCGCTATACTGCCCTCACATCGATGTTTCTTTTTTCCTCTTTCTCTAAAAGTCAATTAAAAAATTAAAAAAAAATTCTAATAAACATTTCAAATGCTCCCAGTGATTGGAATATACTAAGGAAAAGTTTGAGATTAAATATGAACTTATACTTAAGGATGCTTATTTCTCACCTCTTTTATCTTGAGTGAGGCACTTATGTCATTAATTTTTAGTTATTCAATAGATAAGAATAAGCACAAATCCTCTGCTTGCATGCATATTGAGTCTCTAGCATTTTGGTCTCATTTATGGATTTGGGAAACAAGTGGAACAGTTTATTTAGGAGCAAGAATGATTTCTTTAACATGTTGAACATATTGGAGAAGTTATTTCACACTGATATTAGCAGTAAGAATAGAAGTGAGAACAGTTGGAAAACACTAAGAAGATCATTGTTACTAGAATTATCGTTTATCTTATGATTAGGCATGAAACATTTCTATTCAGTAATGTTAAAGCATAGTTTAAAAATCTAAAACAAATTTTGAGTTGAATTTAGTTACAATGATAGCCATTCTAAAGAAAATGTCTAAAATTATAATAACGCAAAATGTAATTCTGTAGGGACTCTAAACAGAATATAAATTGGCAGACATTACCCCTACCCAAGATTGCTATTAAAAGACTAATATATTTCTTATTCTTTTTTCCCCCCCAGAAACAGCTTTATTGAGATAAACATAAAGTTCACTCATTTAAACTGTATGATTCAGATATGTTCATATATACAGTTTACTCATTTAAACTATATGTTTCAGTGGCTTCCAGTGTATTTACAGTGTGTAACCATTACCACAACCAATTATTGAACATTTTCATTTCCCCAGAAAGAATCTTTATATTTTTTATTTTTATATATTTTGTTGATTTTTTTTTTTTTTACAGAGAGGAAGGGAGAGAGATAGAGAGTTAGAAACATCGATGAAAGAGAAACATCGGCCAGCTGCCTCCTGCACACCCCCCACTGGGGATATGCCCGCAACCAAGGTACATGCCCTTGACCAGAATCGAATCTGGGACCTTTCAGTCCACAGGCTGATGCTCTATCCACTGAGCCAAACCGGTTTTGGCAAATCCGTATATCTTTTAGCCATCACTCTCCAACCTCTCCCTTATCCCCCACCAAGTCCTAGGCAATCACTAACATACTTTGACTTGCTCTAGATATGCCCATTTTAGACTTTTCATAAAAATGTAATCATATCATTTAGCACAGTGTTTTCAAGTTTCATGTTGTGGCTTCTGTCAGTACTTCATTTATTTTTATTGACAAGCTATTGTATGGATATGACACATTTTGTCCATTTATCCCATTGATAGACATTGAGCTGCTTCGACTTTTTGGCTGTTATGAATAAAGCTACTATGAACGTTATTTTTTGTGTGGATATTGTTGGATCATATGGTAACTCTATGTTTAGTAGTTGAAAGAACTCTCAGGCTGTTTTCCAAAGAGGCACATTTCACAAGTGAAGGAGAGAGGGAGGGAGAGACACATTGATTTATTGTTTCACTTATTTATACATTCATTGGTTGCTTTTTGTATATGCCCTGACCAATATCAAACCTGTGACCGAGATCAAACCTGCAACCTTGGTGTATGGTGACGATGTTCTAACCAACTGAGCTGCCCAGCCAGGGTCGCTACCTCATTTGGTTTCGATTTGGATATTGCTAATGACTAAGGATGGGCCCTTTGTATGGAAAAATGTCTATTTACATCTTTTGACTCTTTTTATATTAGGCTACTTTTTTTGTTGTTGAGTTGTGATTGTTTTTATGTATTCTGAGTCCTAAACCCTTATTAAATATATAATTTGTAAATATTTTCTCTCCTGTTCTTTAGCTTGCCTTTTAATTTTCTTGATAGTTAAAGGCAGAAAAACTTTTATGTTTTTTGTTGCTGTGTGTGTGTGTGTTTATTTTTTTAATTATTATTTAAAAAAATATATCTTATTGATTTTTTACAGAGAGGAAGAGAGAGGGATAGATAGTTAGAAACATCGATGAGAGAGAATCATCCATCAGCTGCCTCTTGCACATCCCCTACCGGGGATGTGCCTGCAACTAAGGTACATGCCCTTGACTGGAATCAAACCTGGGACCTTTCAATCCGCAGGCCGATGCTCTATCCATTGAGCCAAACCTGTTTCGGCTATGTTTTTGTTTTAAAATATATTTTTTATTGATTTTAGAGAGGAAGGGAGAGGTAGAGTGAGAAATATCAATGATGAGAAAGATTCATTGATTGGCTACCTCCTGCACGCCCCACATGGGGATTGAGCCCGCAACCTGAGCATTTGCTCTGACTGGGAATTGAACCGTGACCTGCTGCATCATAGTTCGAGGCTCAGCCACTGAACCATGTGGGCTGGGCTTTGTTGTTGTGTTTTTGGTGTCTATTAATGTTTGAATACTTTTGAAAATGATTTCTGTATATTTCTTGATCTTGCATGAAGATAATTATACTGTACTTTTATTTGCATTTTAAGATTGATACAAGTTAGTATAAAAAGCATTTTTTACAACTTTTCTTTATTTTTTTTCCAATTTTCTCTAAAAATTTTGTTACAGCTCTATAGTGTCAACCCTCCTTGCTCTTATGGATGGATTAGATAATAGGGGTGAAATTGTTGTTATTGGTGCTACAAATAGACTTGACTCTATAGATCCTGCTCTCAGGAGACCTGGTCGTTTTGACAGAGAATTCCTTTTCAACTTGCCTGATCAAAAGGTAAGAGTTTCTGGTTTTGATCTATTAAAATTTATTTGTGATTCAGTTATGCGACATATATGTATTTTGAGAATGGTATTTCATGAATTTTCATTTTTAAGTTATATTTTTTTGAGTTTTTACAGAGAGGAAGGGAGAAGGATAGAGATTTAGAAACATTGATGGGAGAGAAACATTAATCCTGCACACCACCTACTGGGGATGTGCCCACAACCACGATACATGCCCTTGACCAGAATAGAACCTGGGACCTTTCAGTCCGCAGGTCGACACTCTATCCACTGAGCCAAACCAGTTAGGGCTGAATTTTCATTTTTAAAATTGTGCTTCTGGGATATCAGAGTTAATTCTATAAAAAAAAACATTGTAATTATTAAATAACTTAGTCTTTTCTATTAATAGTTATCAGAAAGTTTATGCTTTTTAAAAAGAGTAAAACCCTTGATTAAGTTACTGTAGATGCTTACTTTTTTCTTTTAGTTCACCAGATTGGAGTAATTATCTTGTTTGACAGGTTATATGTCTCTAGATAGTCAAAGTAGCATTGTTCCCATAAAAATAACATTTGTAGCATATTGGTGGGTTTATGAATAAGGGCCCAAAATACAAATTTTCATAGAAATGACAATATCATCATATTTAATTAAAAGCAGCATGTTATTCATTATAGTGTAGGTTCTAAAAGAATGTGTAATTAAAACAGGGTAGTGTATAATCATTGAATATGTAAAATGTTATATATTATACAAAGTTCTTTTTTCCTAATTCTACTTGAAAATTTTATTGTTAGTTTTGGTTTGACCAGTTTAATCATCAACTGTTTCTTCACTGGGAACGTAAGTTTGAGAGGGAAAGATGAATGAAGAGAAGGTACTATATTTGACAATGCTTCCTATATAATATTATATTTAGAATAAGTTTAATGGGAATATTTATTTATGTATTAAATATATATATATTTTTTTTTTACAGAGAGAAAGAGAGAGGGATAGACAGTTAGAAACATTGATAAGAGAGAAACATCGACCAGCTGCCTCTTGCACACCCCCTACCGGGGATGTGCCCGCAACCAAGGTACATGCCCTTGACTGGAATCGAACCTGGGACCTTTCAGTCTGTAGGCCGACGCTCTATCCACTGAGCCAAACCGGTTTCGGCTTCATGGGAATATTTATAACAGATAGCCATACAAATGTAAGCGGAAGAAAGCAGCGAAGATACTGCATATGAATATATGTAGATGCACACTCATGTTGTTATAGGGCTTTGATTTCAGAATTCTATATAAAATGCTTGGCTTATATATACATAGATAGGCAAATCTAAGTTGGTAAGACAGTTTAGAAGACAATAGGGCAGGGGTGGGGAACCTTTTTTTCTGCCAAGGGCCATTTGGATATTTACAATATCTTTCATAGGCCATAAAAATTATCATCTTAAAAATATTTGGTCAAACATTTAATTAACTCACCCATAATACCTTGGCAGGGCCAGACCAAATGGTTTTGCAGGCCTTCTACAGCCTGTGGGCCTGACATTTCCCACTGCTGATACAGCGAAATTAAGGCAATGGCTCCACTGTATAGAGCAGTTAATACCTCAATTTGACATCAGTTTGCACAGCCACTAGAATGTGTCTCAGTTTTGAATTGACAGCCCAATACATAGGCTTTAATTTGGTATCAAAATCCCACTCTGGTTTATATAGTTTTGTCAGAGTAAGAAACATAGCACATACAGAAACATTTTCATTATCTAAATGCAACTTCCAAGACTGCCAATGCACAGAAGCTTGCTTAGTTGTAGGAGACAAAGCTGAAGTGGGTGCAGTCTACTTCGGCCTGGGGAACATCAGCTATCTTGTATATCTTACAACAGTCCAAGCATCTTTTAGGCTCTTACCAGAATATGGGAAATGTGCTTAGTTCTAGGAGACACCGCCAGTATTCATTTTAGCACAGGAAAGCCATTACCTTGATTTCTCAGTTATCTTCTATTTTGTCTAGTCATGTAGGCCTCAGAGTCTGTATGCCAATCACAATTAAGAGACTTACTAATGAACAAGGTTTAGAACAGCATTGTCTAATTCAGTTATCTGCAGTAATGGAAATGTTCTTTATTTACATTGTCCACTGAGCAATGTCCAGTATGATAGCCACTAGCCACATTGGGCTGCTGGGCATTTGAAATGTCATTAGTGAGGTGAAGGAACTGAATTTTAAATTTTATTTAATTAAAAAATTTAAATAAAATACCATCACATAGCTAGTGGCTTACTGTATTGTGCAGCATGGATCTTGAATGTCGTTTTCCACATTAATTTAAACTATATTTTAAGGAAACTGTGCTGTGAGATCTAAACCTAAGGCCATTTTTTTTCCTGTGGAAAAGACCTGGACAGGCTGTTCACTTTTTTTCCTTAGATAATATTTAAGGTTATAAGACTAGATGAGAGCAACAACTCCTTTGTCTTAAGGAGCAGTCAGTAAGGTAAGAGGGAAAAGGAGCCAAGTGAAGAAAGTGCATCAGTGAGGAGGTTGTAATTTAATAGTGTTGCTAAGTTAAATCAGATGATGACAGAAAATTAGCTGTCCTGTTTAATTAATATTTATTTACTTTAGAGAGAGAGGAAGGGAGAGAAACATCAGTTTTTTGTTTCACCTATTTATGCATTCATTGGTTGATTCTTATATGTGCCCTCGAACCCGCAACCTGGGTATGTGTCCTGCCTTGGAATCAAACCTAGGATCTTTCAGGGTATGGGATGATGCTCCAACCAATTAAGCCAGAGAAGCCAGGGCTGACTTCAAACTTTTTAAAAATTTTAAATTACTTGTCATTTAGCTCATTGTTCGGCATAGTACTTTATAACTGATAGAACCAAAGGTTCTATGAAACCTAAATCTAAAGTTTGTTTAAAAGTTATGATTATTATAACATTAAGCTTTTTGCTTATATGTTTTTCCAATTATGAAAATGATGTGGCGGAAAAGTGAAATTTAGTTTTGAAATCTAGTCCTAAGTCAGTATTGTAATCATATGTGCCACTAGTCATGTTCCCTTACCTCTCTGAATATTGAATGTCTTAGTGTATGAAATAGAGACAAGATCTCACTGCCCATGCTGCAGGGTTATTATGGGAATCAGAGTTGATGCAGATGCCAACATGATTAAATTCTTTAAAAATAAACATTTACTTTTCTGGAGTATTGTTAGTCCATAAATTTGTTCCAGCAAATGCATTTAAGGGGCTGATATATTTTATTTAACTGTGTTTTTCTTTTTAGGCAAGAAAACACATATTACAGATTCATACCAGGGATTGGAATCCAAAATTGTCAGATGCTTTTTTAGGTGAATTGGCCGAAAAATGTGTTGGTGAGTGCTACTATTTGAATTCTTTGATTATCATTGTTTATTCTACTCAGTCTTCCTTTACCCTTATATTTGGAATATGAATGAGTATAGTTATGTCTTTGTGCAATACATGGTTCTACCTTTAAATGTAAAAAATTATTTTAAACATTGCACTTGAAGTTTGAACATTTCTAAATTAGAATTTTAACTGCCATTAGGTGATTGATTAACAAAGCTCTATAGTAATATTCCTTTCATTGAGTGCTGGCTTTCCATAATGTTATTACAGTGTTTCTTTTAGGAATTGTCCCCTCTCAGAAATTTTACTAAGAAAAGTAAGTGTAAATTTGACAGATGAAGATTCATGTCAAAGGCAGGACTGTGTAGTCTTTCACTTTGCAGATTACATGGACTCATCTTCATGAAGTTGAGTGAGAGGAGTCTTCAAAGAACACACTGATGGCATCTGCTAGTATTTTCCCAAATATAAAACTTTCCAATTTAATGTTGTCATTCACACAATGGAAGATCTCCCACAGAATGAATGACAGCTACAATCCTAAAAGGATGTGGTCAGAGTATTTTACATACATACATGACCATACAAAGGAGAAGGAATTCAGGGGTTTTTGCTCTAATCAGGTCTGAAATAAAATGAGTACATATTTAAGCAATCAAGTATACACATAGATATTTTTCCTTTATTCTTTTTCCATCTTTTGTCTGCTTTCCTAAAAAATCTGTATTAAAAGATCTTTCTCCATGCACTTTTCAAGCATTCTGTAGAAATCCCCCAAATAAGTCCACTAACCATCAACAGCTTACTTGGGAAAACTTTAAAGTTACCAAAACCAAAAAGAACAATTTAGTTTAAAAAAAATCATTGTGATCCACCATCAAATAATTTAAACTTAAATAGAGCATTAGTCCATTCAGTTAGCTACATCCGAATTATCCTCTTCATCCACAGGGACCTCCATCTCCGAAGCAGCATCTCTCAGCTTTTGAACCTCAAAGACCTCGACATCTTCTGGTGAGGAGAAAACGTAAATCTCTCCAGCACTACTCCAGTTTAAGCTTTGCCTGGTATCAGAGAGCATGCGCCAAATCCATTTCATGTACATTTAGCTTGACCTTCGCAAAGCCCTATGCTGCTTTATGGGAGAGGGTGGTATTTGGTGCAGAATCCAGTCTTTTCCCATTTTGAGATTTGACCCCTCTTATATACTGCTATTTTTATGATATTGTATTAGAGTACAGGTCAGAATGGGGAATTTTTATAGTTTCTTCTGTGAATTTGTCACAGAATGATCCTTAACTGAAATAGGAAGTCTTCAGAAAATTTTGGAAACTCCCTAAAACATAGGTACTTTTTAAATTACTTTCTATTACCCTACCTACCAAGTGAAATATTATATTCTAATTCTTCATCCTAAATGTTAGAATCTTAGTTTCCTTTTTCATTTCTAAAGACCACTACATATTTTTCAAGTGATTAATTTTAATTTTCAGATAGTTTCTTAAATTAAAAAAAATTTAAAACATAATTTCTTATAGAACTGAAATACTTCTCTTGCCTTCTTTGGGTGGTGGTGGTTTAAAATCTGCTTATATATATTCATAATTTTCTTTTGGAGAAAGACATATAAGTCCATTATAAGTTTTATTATGATTTTGGTGGTGACATTTTAATGTGAAAACAGTTCATATTAAAAAAATCAAATGTAGGTCTTCAAACAGGAATGAAATAGTAATAAATTTTAAATTCATTATTAACTTAGCATTTTATGTATCCCAAACATGTTTTAACAAGTATGAGTTCAGTTCATGCTTAACAAAGACTTGATGAACAACTGCAAAAATAGCTTATCTCTTTTTAGAGGTTATGGATTTGGTAACTTTTACCTTGAAATAAATTCCCAAGTACTTGTAGGTGTTTGCATGCATACTAGGTATGTTTTTTTCAGTAGTACTCAAATAATTCGGTATGCAGAATATGTACACAAATAGTAGGAGCTTAAGGTTAATGAAGAGCTTAAACCTAATCATATTTCTCTATTCATTTTTACTAAGAGGGCCAAAACAGTGAAAGTGTATCATTGAGGCATCTATCTTGTGAGCCTTATTATGTTTGATGTTTTACTTAAAAAATAAATTAAAATTTATTATTGCCTATTTCTAGTCTATAATCTCTTTGAATAGCTTCTATTTTCAGTGTTTCAGACCAATTTCCATCTTAATACCAGTATTAAAAAATGCTTTTTCTTTGATATCTAGATATTTGGGTTCTTCAAAGCATTATAATTGTAATGGTGGAATTAGTATGCTTATGGAAGTCATATGAAAAAGGATGTTGTTTTTCCCCCCCTTAATATCAACTTTTAACTTTCAAAAGGCTTAGTATATTTTCAGTATGTTTAGAATGATTATATCATCTATGTTTCTAAAGTAGGACCCTTAAGTCCTCAGACTGATGCTCTATCCACTGAGCCCAACCAGCTAGCACTGTATGTACTTTTAAAGAAGAAAAAGAAAAGTGGTTGTTTATATTGTTTCAAGAGGGTAGTTTATTCTTTACTTCCTCAGAAACGGATTGTTTCATTAAGTATTTATGAGCTGATGTTTTACAGTTATTTTGTTGAAGTAAATATGTATGACATAGGGAATGATACTTTTTTTTTTCACTGAGAAATAGAAAATAAAATGAGAGAATAATGGTAAATTTTGTTATTCTGGAGAATTATTTGGGAGATTGATTGCTGTCATGGGACAGTGTTAATCCTTAATCTGCTTATAATTTTCTAATTAAATTTCTGAATTAAATTCTCATAGGTCATATTAAGTTTTCCCCAAACTCTGTGTAAATGTTTCTTTAGGAATGCAATACTTTCTATGTTTTTTCATAACTTTCATTGAAATTATTAAGTTGGCTCTAATAATAAAATTGTTTAGATTTCTTAAAAAAAAAAGAAAAGAAAAACTCAGTAAGTATAATTTATCCACTTCTTATGGTAGTACATAGTAACCTTAGAGTTTTACCTTCCCAAACTACAAATAAGCCTGGAGTTAACTCTTTTTCTCTTTTTATTCATTCTTTTACTTAAGAAATATTTATTGGATATCTGTTGAATGCCAGGCCAGGTATCATTCTCAGAATTTGAGAATCCTTAGTGTTCAAAACAAATACCCCTACTCTCACAGAGCTCACATTGCAGTTGGTGAAGACAGAGGTAAAGATAATAGGTAAATGATTTAGTAGTGAGTTCTATGGATAGAAGAGAGCAAAATAAAGAGGATCCCCCCCCCCCATTATTTGTAAGACTTGATTAACAGAATTATTTGCCCTAGCAGTTTGAATTATATGGGTTTGTCCCTTAATGTATTTTTTTCTACCAGTTAGTCTAGGGCCATTTTTTCTCTCCTCATTGGTAGTTTTCCTAACCACCATTTTTGTTTCAGTATTTAAGTGTTCAGTGAGACCATTGTAAGGTATAAAAAAATAAACAAACCTGATTCCACTCTTTGAAGAGCTGAGACCAATGTTGTATAACTAGGTGAGGTGACTCCTTCTGCTGGTGTAATTGATAAAGGTGTCCAAATGCAAGTTTAATTACTAGTTTGAGTTTTCTTTATTTTTGTCTTAAAAACCTAAGAAATAGTGTATTTTTGTATTTGTTGCTTATATATATATATATTTTATTGATTTTTGTACAGAGAGGAAGAGAGAGAGATAGAGAGCTAGAAACATCGATGAGAGAGAGTCATCGATCAGCTGCCTCTTGCACACCCCCTACTGGGGATATGCCCGCAACCAAGGTACATGCCCTTGACCGGAATCGAACCCGGGTCCCTTCAGTCCCCAAGCCGACGCTCTATCCATTGAGCCAAACCGGTTTCGGCTGTATTTGTTGCTTAAATGAATGAAATGACTTAAAAGCATCCATCGGGGGTTTGATCTGTTAATTATAATAAATCATTTAAATATGGGTAATGGATAATACCCTGGTTGGTCTATTCCTTAGAACTAAATCATCAGTCATTTTAAGCTAAAAAAAAAAAATAATATATAACATATGTGAGGTTAATGTGAAAAATTAATGCATTTTTATTCCCTTTAATGTTTTGGAACTATCAGAGATGATCACAACTTTAAAATATAGTTTTTGGGATAATTAGAAATCAACTTCTCAGTTGCACTCAGAGTTGGTAGTTGAATAAGCTCTGTTTTTGAAGTTTCTGCTTATGTGCTGTTTTGTATTACTCTGTGTTTGGAAATTAGTAATATTGAAAAGATTGATAGGTAACTAATTTCATGATTGATGAAGGTTTGAGATGAAACTATATTTTTTAAAAACCTCTTTTGAAGAAAAATTGTCAGTTATCTGTGGTATTGGCACAAAATACATGACTTATTTTAATATTGTTAGTTCATGTGTTTGTTAATATAAATATTCAAAACATTTTAGTCTTAATGAGTAAACAACTAGGTGATTTTAAATGGTCAACTTTTATTTTGCTGATAAAACTACAAATAATTATTGATTTTTGTATTGTTTCCTTGGTTAAAGATGTGTATATTTGTGAAACATAGTTGGCCTTAGAAGAGTAAACCTACCTTTGTTGTCCTTTTCCTTTTGTGCATTAGGGTATTGTGGAGCTGACATCAAGGCCCTGTGCACTGAAGCTGCTCTGATTGCCCTGCGGCGGCGTTACCCCCAGATCTATGCCAGCAGCCATAAACTGCAGCTCGATGTGTCCTCAATAGTGCTCAGCGCTCAAGATTTTTACCATGCAATGCAGAACATTGTGCCTGCTTCCCAGCGTGCTGTCATGTCTTCGGGACATGCACTGTCCCCCATCATAAGGCCACTGCTAGAAAGAAGCTTCAACAATATCCTCGCAGTCTTGCAAAAAGTGTTTCCTCATGCTGAAATTAGCCAGAGTGACAAGAAAGAAGGTACTGTAATTATTTTTTCGTATTGTTAAAATGAAACAAGTACAGGCATAAATAAATAAATTTTGAATTTTCTCATAAGCTTATTTATTTATATGTTACTCTTTTATATTTGCCATGAGTATAGAAAATATACCTTTTTTATTCACAATTGTGTATTCCTGGCCTGGCATGTTGCCTAGTATATGGTAGTTGACTAGTGAATGTTTATTAAAAATATACACGTGAATGTTTGTTTATTTGCTCTTGGGACATTCTGATTGTCTTAATGTCGGAGTATTATGGTCTTTTGAGGAGTTGACTATAGTAATAATGGCTTACAATTATGTTATTATTATAAAGACCTTACACAAATTGTTGTTTATTAATTCTCATAATAATCCTGTGGATAGGGTACTCTTTATTTTATAAATGAGGAAACTGGAAGATTGAGGAAGGTATTTGCTTATATAGGGTTACTCAGTAAGTTCTAGGGCTTGCTCAAGCCCAGGGACTCTGATTACAGAATCCATGCTCTTAATTATGGTACTATTAATACCTATTAATACCCTCTGGATTCTATTCAGCATGTGTTTTTATTGGCAGAGCATTCTAATTTACTGTACTAATGGAGTATAGATTTTTAGTAAGGAAGTAGACTAGAATTAGGTTGGTTATAAAATACCTTGGATTCTAGCCTCAAGATTGTAGTTTGGACTTGAGGTAAAGATAGAAAGCTACCTTTAAAAACAGAAAGCTACCTTTCCTGTTCATTTACAGGAAAATTTTAAGTTCATAAGCTAATCAGAGTAAGGCCGATGAACTTTGAAGAGAAAGTAATATGTTTTTAAAAAAATATATTTTATTGATTTTTTACAGAGAGGAAGGGAGAGAGATAGAGAGCTAGAAATATCGATGAGAGAGAAACATCTACCAGCTGCCTCTTGCACCCCCCCCCCCCCCACCAGGGATGTGCCCGCAACCAAGGTACGTGCCCTTGACCGGAATCGAACCCTGGACCTTTCAGTCTGCAGACTGATGCTCTACCACTGAGCCAAACCGGTTTCGGTGAAAGTAATATTTTTTAATTATCTTAATTTCCCCAGTTCCATGGTCGGCCAACTGTGGCTCACTAGCCACATGCAGCTCTTGAGTGTGGCTCTTCCACAAAACACCACGGCCTGGGCAAGTCTATTTTGAAGAAGTGGCATTAGAAGAAGTTTAAATTTTAAAAATTCGGCTCTCAAAAGATATTTCAATCGTTGTACTGTTGGTATTTTGCTCTGTTGATAATGATTTTGCTGACCACTGGCCCAGTTTATAGTATCTTGTTTAGCAAATCGTCTGTATCAAATAGAAAATTGTTCAGTGCATTACACTAACATTGAAAATATCATATGTCGCAAAACCCATTAATATTTAAATGAATTTTGCTGTTCCAACTCTATTTTTCAGGAACTTTATTTTTTAGGAATGGAGTCTCATGTAATGTCATATGGATAATTCTGTTTCTTTAATTAAATATACAAGGGAATAAATATTTTATTATCTTTGAGCCAGGTATTCTGCCACAAATAATACAATTCTTATCTAACTACAATTCTTATCTAACTTTCATAACTAAAGATATATACTAGTATTTACCACCCAACTTTTTAAAACTTAAAACATTTTTATTGACTTATAGAGAAAGAGGAAAGGAGAGGGAGAGAGAAACATTGATGTGGGAGCATAATATCTATTGGCTGCCTCTTGCATACCCTCTTCCTGGGATTGAGCCTGCAACCTGGGCACGTGTCCTGACCAGGAATTAAATTAGCAACTTTTCAGTGCATGGCATGATGTCCAACCAACTGAGCTACACTGACCACGGCTTCCCAAATGTTTTAATTTGTTGCTTTTATAAGAACTGGCTATAGCTCAAGATTTCTGGGGATTTCTCCTCTTCCTTCATATGGGGCATTTTTATTTTTTTCTTCACTTTGGTTGCCTCTGTATTTGTTTCTGTGCATTAGGTAGATCTGCTGTGTCTCCCAGTCTTAGGGTGACTTTGTGTAATAGGTGTCCTTGTGGCTCAGTGGCTCAATGTCCTCAATCACCTGAGCGAGGTGCTCCAGGAATATCCCTTGTGTGGATTATGTGAGCCCTTCTATGGTAACTGAGTCTTGATTACTACTGGCCCCTGCCTGGATGGGATTGACCCGCAGGCTGGCTGACTCTGAGGAGTGACCCCCACCACAATGTAGAGCTCTGTGCAGGTGCTGACCACATGAAGCAGAATTTGCTCCAATAGGTTCTGGTGCACACTGAAGTCACCCTGTGAAGTGTGCTGTTTGAGGGACTAATTGGGTCGTGCTCTGATGTGGTCTGAAGCCAACCACTAGGTGTGTTGGTTCTGTGTCAAGTGCTCTATTTTATACCAAATATCTTAGATGAGATGTACTGGCTTTCATAAAAATTAACTTAGAGATAAATATTACATGATCTCACTCATTTGTGGAATATAAAGAACCTCATAATCTAATGAACAAAAATAGATACAAAAACAAAGAAGCATCGAACAGACTGTTAACTTCAGCGGGAAGACAGGGGAGGGTTGGGGGGGGCAATAAGAGATCAACCAAAGGACTTGTATTCATGCATATAAGCACAACCAATGGACACAGACACGGGGGTGAGGGCAAGTGCGGGGGGTTGGGGGAGGCAAGGGGAAGGTCAGTGGGGGAAAAGGAAACATATGTACTACTATTTGTAATACTTTAAACCAGTGGTCGCCAACCTTTTGGATTTTTAACAAATAGGATGGGTATTTTATGTGAGTGCTATTTCATCTCAGTCTTCTTGTAGTCAATGAAGACTCCTAAATTATATCTTACAACACTTAAATAGTCTGTAAAGGTGAAAGAATTACATTATTTCACTTATAAATTATTCAAAATAGTGCAGTTTGTTAATTAGCCTGCTTAATCGATATTATTTGATAACTTATTAGTTAATGTCATTTTTTTAAATACATTTTTTATTGTTGATAGTATCGATATTACAGATACCTCTCATTTCCTTCCCCTTTACCCCTCCTCCCAAACCTTTCTCCCCTTCTCCCAGGTCTTCACTACCCTATTGCCTGTGTCCATGGCTATGCATATCTATATATAAGAGCCTAATATACAATGTGTCCCCTCTTGAGTTCAACTGACTGGAAGTTCAATCATTTGCTATGACATGCGTTGACCACAAGGGGGTGGCGTGGGACAAAGGGTGGCTCTGACTGGCGGCCAGCAGCTAACAAAAGGAGGCCCCAGCCAGTGGCTGGCACCTGGGGAAGGGAGGCCCTGGCTGGCAGCCGGCAGCCGCTAGGGACCCTCCCTGTGCATGAATTTTGTATATAAGTTCTTTGGTTTATCTTTTCTTGCCCCCCCAATCCACACCAAGGTATGTCAGTCTGTTCCATGTCTTCATGGTTCTGGTTAATTTGACTTTTAAACCAATTTTTTTAAGCTTTTGTAGAACACTAATATTAAATGACTTTATAAGTCTCAATCTTGTGGGTTTGTTTTGTTTTGTTTTTGAACAGATATAGATACTCTAGTTTTAGATGATAGTGAAGATGAGAATGCTCTATCAATTTTTGAGACCAGTTGTCACTCAGGATCACCAAAGAAACAGTCATCAGCTGCTGCTGTACATAAATCCTACCTTCATTTTACAATGTAAGTAATGTAAATCACATTTCTTTCTATTTAACATGATTTTTATTATTGTATGGTTAGAATTAAGGTATATTTTTACTTATGGTTATACCCTTGAGGACTTTGATTTTCTGTTGTTTGGACACAGTTCTGGTATACTTGCTCTGTATATTGTTTTTGTGTGGTACTAAATTGGTTTATTGGTTAACTGTAAAAACTTTTTTCTAAACATATTATGACTTTTATTTAAACCAAAGTGGAAGGAAAGGTTATCTTTAGAAAATCAACTCATGTTCCTAATTTTATTGCTTTTTATTTCAACTAAATGAACAAGAGTGAATTATTTACCATGGTTAGGATATTTTAATATACAATAAGTTTCAGATGGTAATTTAGGGACTCTAGGGTACTAAAAAGATTTTGAATTAGAAATTCCTCAGAAATTAAACAAGTAACTTTTCAATTCTCCAAAATAACATTAGTTTGTACTTTCTTAATTTAGATTTCTATTTCTATTCACCTTTATCTATATTAAAGCAGCTTTTGCTGTGCACTTTAATGGGTAAACAATATTAGTGCTAATCTAATTTTAAATTAAGGGACCAAATAGTTTCAAATACTAATAGCATCATCACTTACATTTACATAATTATTATGAGAGTTAAAGGACCATAATGCTCCATTCAGGTAAGTCTAATCGCATTTTTTTTGGAAGATGTTGGGTTATGTGTTACATTTAAGTAGTTTTCCTTTTGACATATTTTGAACAAATTTAAGTCTTCAACTTGAATTGAAGTTTCTTCCATTTGGATTTTGGTAAAATGTTATTTTAATTACTTGCATTGATAACTCTTGCTTGTTTTGCATTTTTAAAAATGAGAATAAATTCCCTTCATTTACTCTTTTTTTCTTTTAACAGCAAGCTCTTCTATTATCGATAGAAACTTTTTTCTTTTACTCTTGGGTCATTACATGTATGCCCTCAGGGACGTTTTCTTAGACTATTTCAGTAATTGTACAGATCTGCTTTATTCATGGCCAAGGGAAAGCCAAACAGTCCTCCTCTACCCCACCTAGCTAGCCTGTGTGTGTGTGTGTGTGTGTGTGTGTGTGTGTGTGTGTGTGTGTGTGTGTGTGTAAATTGTTTTGACAATTTTAGTTATTTGGATTTGAAATACATGATAGCCGAGCTAAGAAACTGTCAAAAAATAATGTGTTCCAATTGTATAAGATAGTTCTGTTGTCAGTAAAGTGATACAGAAATAGATTTTGATATGATAAATTTTTTTAAATAATTTTTAAAATTGATTTCAGAAAGGAAGGGAGAGGGAGGGAGAGAGAGAGAAACATAAATGTTGAGAGAGAATCATTAATCGGCTGCCTCCCGGCACGCCCCACATTGAGGATCAAGTCCACAACCCGGTTGTGTGCCCTTGACTGGAATTGAACCTGGGACCTTTCAGTACACAACTCGATGCTCTATCTACGGAGCCAAAACCAGCTAGGGCCTTTTTGAAATTGGTTTAATTTTAGCTCCCTTTAAGTAAGCTTTTCTAGTTCTGATTTAACTTGAATAGTGAGGCAGCTATACTAGAATAAGCTTTTTTTGTTTTTGTTATAGATATTTGAACTACGAGGATTAGCATGCCAGGCCAATAAAACAAGGTGCTAGACATAGAAAGATGACTTCAGTCTGGTCTCCAATAACATTAGTTTGAGCATCGCTGGTGGGTTTCTGTTTCTGGGAATAGTTTCCTAAAACAATGTTGAAACCTTTAATTTAGGTTTAAGATGAAATATAAGTAAAGATATTTAAGGTCTGTCAATCTGGTAGAAAACTCTTAGGATGAAAAATAAGTTTACTTTCTTACAATGTTTTGTCATAAGGGGATGAGAAACACAGCTTTCTGAGGTTTCCCAAATGAAAATAGCTTTGTTTTTTCTAATTAGAAAGAGGATATACTCTGTAGAAAATTCAAGTAATAAAGAAGAGCATAAAGAAGAAAGTAAAAATTAAAGCCTAGGCATCTGCAGGTAATATTTGTTAGTATTGGTGACCACCCTTGCTGTGCATACAGACAGACCCACATAATATCCTATATAATCTATATCCTTCTTGTAAGGTTTTTAATATAGCTTGCTGTTTTATCCATTATGTTGGGAATGTTATTTCATGTTAGTATATTTAATGCCATTCTTTTAAAATAGCTGCACAGTACTTTATTTTTAGGTGTTCCTTAGTTTATACAACCTTACTGGTAAAAATTAAAGTTTCCAATTTTCCTCTTTTATAAATAGTGCTGTGGTAGTCAAATTTCTAAGTATACATCTTTGTACCATTATCTGATTCAGAACTTAGGGTAAATTTTAAAAACTATGATCGCTGTGTAAAAGAGTGTATATATTTAAAAATATGATACAAGTTGTTAAGTTGCTTCCAGAAAGATAGTACCAATTTTATTTTTAACACTAATGGTATTTTCCCTATATCCTTATTAATTTTGAGTACAATTTGCCTTTTTAAATCTTTGTCAACCAAATAGACGAAATAACATCTTGTTTATTTGAATCATTCATTCACTCATTAATTCATTCAGAGTGCCCATGTGTTACATGCTGTCCTAGAATATGTCAGTGAGCAAAATGGACTATAATCCTTGCTCTCATTCAGCTTACGTTTTAAATGGAGACAGACGAACAATAAGTGTAATAGATGAATAAAATGTTAGAAGATAAATACTATGAAAAATATGGAGAATGCTATGAGGGAAGGGCGTTTTTTGGGAGTGAGATAAGTTACCATACTTGCCAAATTGAATTTTGGGAAATTGCACTTTTTCCCACTCCAACTCTCTCAGCCTTGGTTTCTTCATCTGATTAACAGATAAAGCTGTTTTTCATTATTTATGTTTTTGTAACATTTTTACCTATTAACTACCACTACGTCTTTCTCAAAGCTAGATCACCTTTAATCCTTAGACCCTTTCCAGCTGCCTGTCTTCCTTTCTTGTGCCATAGATATTTCATTTCATTTATTGATTTGAGGGAGAGGAAGGGGAAAGAGAGAGAGACATTGATTTGTTGTTCCACTTATTTATGCATTCATTGGTTGTTTCTCGGATTGAACCTGCATCCTTGTTTTTCACTAAGTACTTTTCAGTTATGAGCTCTGTGATAACAGTAGTATTATTGGAATGTGTAGGGCCAACACATTCAGCTTAGGAAGCATTCTCCAAGTGTTAAATGAATGAACATTTAAAACATATTATCTATTTGCATCTTTTTTGAATGATCTGCTTATATTCTGTGCCCATGAAAGTATTCTTTTAAAAAAAATATTTGATTGATTTTTTATTTTATTTTTTAAATTAAGGTATATGTGTACATATCTTACCATTGTCCCCCCTACCCCCCACTCCCATACATGCCCTCACCCCCCAGAGTTTTGTGTCCATTAGTTATACTTATATGTATGCATACAAGTCCTTTGGTTGACCTATCATCTCCCCCATATCTTCCTACCCTTCCTGCTATAATTTGACAGTCTGTTTGTTGCTTTACAGACTCTGTATCTATCTTTTTGGTCATCAGTTTATAATATTATTTATTATCCATAATGAGTGAGATCATGTGGTGTTTTCTTTCATTGACTGGCTTATTTCACTCAGCATAATGTTCTCCAATTCCATCCAGGTTGCTGCAAATGATAAGAATTCCTTCTTTTTTATGGCAGCATAATATTCCATTGTGTAGATGTACCATAGTTTTCTGATCCAATCATCTGCTGGCCTGCACCTAGGCTGTTTCCAAATCTTAGCTATTGTAAATTGTGCTGCTATGAACATAGGGGTGCATATATCCTTTCTGACTGGTGTTTCTAGTTTCTTAGGATATATTCCTAGGAGTGGGATTACTGGGTCAAATGGGAGTTCCATTTTCATTTTTTGAGGAAACTCCGTACTGTCTTCCACAGTGGCTGCACCAGTCTGCATTCTCGCCAGCAGTGCACGAGTGTTCCTTTTTCTCCGCATCCTCGCCGACACTTGTCATTTGTTGATATTTTATTGATTTTTTACAGAGATGAAAGGAGAGGGATAGAGAGTTAGAAACATCGATGAGAGAGAATCATTGATCAGCTGCCTCCTGCACGCCCCCTACTGGGGATGTGCCTGCAACCACTGTACATGCCCTTGACCGGAATCGAACCTGGGACCCCCCAGTCTGCAGGCTGACGCTCTGTCTACTGAGCCAAACTGGTTTTGGCAAAAGTATTCTTTATTAACTGTATGCACATTGTCTCTTTATGCATTGAGAACCATTTTTGTTAATGGCAAATTTTTGGTCTTATTTGGTTGTTTGCCATTTGGTTCAGGTTGTAATTTTTGAATTATAAAAGTTTAAAAATTTGTATGAAATAGATAAATGTATCTTTTGGTTTTTCTTAGTTGTTTTTTTGTGAGAATTCATTTTACTTATTCCTTTAAATGCGAATTTGAATCCTCCTTATTTTAAACATTTATTTTGTAATTCACCCCTGTCCCTTTAATTTTTTTATGCCTTATCTTATGTAAAATTCTTTCAGTTTCTATGATTTGTTTCTTGGGTTGCCTATTATCTTCCACTGATCTGTGTTACTTTTCTTTGGTGTAATCTACATTCTGTTTTGTTATTATGTTCTGTGATATGTTTCAGTATGAAGTAGGGCACATTTTAACATAGTGGTTGGGAGCCTTTGCGATTATATGGGCCTGAATGAGAATTTGAAATCTGTCACCACTGTGTTGTACAATCTTATACCTAACCTCTGACCTTTGGTTTCTTCATCTATTTAACAGATGGAAACTATGTATTTCACAGAATTGTTAAGAAAGTTAAGTGATAAATTTGTATGAAGTGTTTGTTACTAAAACAGGTTTAAATGTAAAATTGGACCTATCGTCTTTTTAAAAAAATTTCTTGATTATGTTTTTCAGATAATGTGGTGAATAAGCTTGAAATCTCCCTCTCAAATTCTTTTGGGATTTTGATTAGAATTTTTAAATGTATAAAATAAAATAAAATAAAATACACACATATGTATTGACATCTTTATAAAATCAGACTCATGATGTATGCTATATTGTTTCTTCCTTTATAATAATATTATTTGTTTTGCCATTTGTGTTTTTGCAGTTGTAAATAGGATCTTATTTCTTTTTTTTATATTGGTTCTTGATGGTATTTAGGAAATCTTTTTGCCTTTCTGTTTCCATCTTTTATTATATCTTAATCCTTTGCTGGTAGAATATGAAAATTATTAGATGATTCTCTTGGATTTTCTAGTACATAATAATCCTTTTCAAGTAACAGTGTTTTCTCTATTTCTTCCCATTAGTTGTTTATTTGTTTATTGCATTTCTTAGAATTTACTTCATTATTTATAGTGATTGTATATGGATTTGTTTCATTTATTTGAATTTCATTAATATATTTACATAAACCTACCTTCTCTAGTGTAGGGCTTTAGATGTCATATTTGATAGTAAAAACAGTTTCTATTAGCCTAGAAACAAAATTTTCAGCCACAGAAAAAGTCCTACTTCTTCCCCCCGCCCCCATTTAAAAAATTGTGGTTAAAAATACATACAATTTAATATTTTAACCATTAAAAAGAAGTCCTGTATTTTGGGTAATCTTCAGATGTACTTTCTTGTTGAAGTGGGATTCTTAACATTTGACCATGGATCGATAATAACTAAATCACACATTGTGTCTGAAACACTTTCCAAGTTAATATATTTTTACTTTTTTTAGAAGGGGTTTTTATAATTTTACCTCTTGGTTATTATTATGGTCAGAGAGATCAACGTTTTAAAACTAATTAATGAAAAATGATTCACTTTACTTAAAAAATAAGAAAGATAGGGAAGTTCTATTAATTTGGAGTTATATTCTTTTAATGTAAATATATTGCCTAATATTTCATATTGATCTTCAGAGTATACGGTTTCAAAATAATTATTATGTCTTACATGTATTGCAGGTCACCATATCATCAGCCAACCTCTTACAGGCCAAGATTATTGCTGTCTGGAGAACGAGGCTCAGGTCAAACTTCTCACCTTGCTCCAGCGCTTTTGCACACTCTAGAAAAATTCTCTGTGCACAGACTAGATCTCCCAGCACTTTATTCAGTTAGTGCCAAAACACCTGAAGAATCATGTGCACAGGTAGGTGTGTACCTTGTTAGAGCAGTTGCAACTTTCTTGGAAGTGTTAATAGATAAAATTTTTCAAAGAAGAATAATATGAATATTTGTTAACATAATATTAAGGTAGAGAATCCTTTGGATGTGTAATGTTTTTCAAAGTGAGCTTGTTTTTACAATGATACTTCATTCATTTCTGAAATTTTAATATCCTGTTTCTTGTTTAATTAAATGGTGTAGAAAGGGAGTTTCTTTTGGCTTTTTCTCAGTTTCTTTTCAAAGCTATGGTTTTAGAGCCCTTCTAGACTTAAATCTCTGTACTTATAGGAAGGGAAATGATACACAATTTGAAATGCCTGTGTCCTCTTACAAAACTGGACCCCTCAGGGGACGTCGGACTGCTGGTTTCAGCCCGATCCATGTAGGCCAGGCCGCATGATTGGGACGGGGGAGAGACGTGAAAGGTTGGCTAGCTGAGGAGGGACCCACGGGAGCACTCCAGGATGTGTCCATTCCATTTTGCTCATTCCCAGTCTGGGGGACCCCAGTAGCAAGCTTATCTACCGTTGGAGCACCTGCCCCCTGGTGGTCAGGGCACGTCATAGCGACTGGTTGACCGGTTGACTGCCCCCCTGGTGGTCAGTGCATGTCATAGTGAGTGATTGAGCATTTTTAGCATATCATTAGCATATTATGCTTTGATTGGTTGATTTGTTGATCAGACGACTGGACACTTAGCATATTAGGCTTTTATTACATAGGATTAGAGAGAGGAGTGCCACTTTCTTCTTTGATATTTATCCTACTTTTAGAGATCAGATGACTGGAGTAGTAACAGTTAGAGCATTGCAAACAACTTTACTGTTTTATTTCAGTAACATTTTATAAATATTTAATACATATACTATGTTACTGAAAACCATTCTGTACCTTTGTAGCAAGAAACATTTTTTAAACATTCTAAAAGTATTATTTTAAAAGTTCATAGTGTTGATTTCATTTCTCTTTTACTTAGTTCTTTGTAAAGTAAGAACTTCACTGCTTAAAAAGCCCTATTTAAAGGGTTCCCTCCCACAAAACACTCATGTTCTGAATAAAAAATGGTATACCAGTAATTTGCTCCAAGATTTATACATTTAATTCATTCTTGCTGTGTTTTCCAATAATGTTGATTTATATATTTGCTCATATTTTTTATTTAGTAAGACAAAATTGTAGCTTTGTATGCAAGTGAGAAAATTACTCAGTACCATATAAAATAAATCCGAGTGACTTAATAGGAGAATATAAATTAACAAAATTGACCCCAGAGAAGAGAGAAGCCAAACAGTCAAAACACTAGCTGTGGAAGAAGAAATTGGGTGTAAAAAAAAGTATTAAGTCCAGATAATTTCACAGGTGAATTTAAAATACACACACACACACACACACACACACACACACACACATATATATATATATATTTTATTGATTTCAGAGGGAGGGAGAGAGGGAGGGAGGGAGGGAGGGAGGGAGGGAGGGAGAGAGAGAGAGAGAGAGAGAGAGAGAGAGAGAGAGAGAGAATATGAATCATTGATCAACTGTCTCCTGCATTTGGGATCAAGCCCACAACCCTGGGCATGTGCCCTGACCTGGAACCGAACCATGACCTCTGGTTCTTAAACCACTGGGCTATGCTGGTCGGGCACAGGTGAATTCTTTTAATCTTAAAGGATAAGTTAATTTTTATGATAGTTAAACTGTCCCTAAGTATAGTAAAAGAAGGAAAGCTGTGAAACCAATAAAAATGGTGATGATACACCTAACTGAAGATATCTAAAATTCAGTTGAGGAGAACAGTTGAAATAATGACAGACACACTTTGTGGTGTTTTTTGTTTTGTTTTTGTTTTTATAATATAACTATTTTATTAAACACATGGATGTACTTATTTTGTACAAAACACGGTGACATTTCTCTCCTCTGCTACACGAGACCACCACTCTAGAACTTCGTATTTACCAAAACACTTGGCAGCAGCCATGACAAGTTGAAAAGTGCAATTCTGAAAGTAACACCACATAACGAAAATGGGGAACAAAACCAGGCAGAAGTTAGGTTTCTCGGCTAGCTCTCTGCTGACAGACCCTAATCGTACTCAACAGGTAATATTTTAAGGAATAGAGATTCCTGAGAATTAATACTGCCCAACTATTGGCAGCATCGCTCTTCCACTTCCATCTATCCAGATGGCATTATAACTACCTAATTTGTAACTTAAGAAATTCCACTTTGGCTCAGACCCCTAGGAGTTGCCCATCTCACTTTGAATTTCTAAATAACGGAAGAGCAGTTAAGTTTCAAAATGATATCAATTGAGACATTTTTGTTTTTTAATATACTATGATTCAAAGTGTAGAATGAACTCGAATTGCAGATAAAAATCTCAGCTACTTTGCTTATTAGTTGTGGTCTTGTACAAGTTGTTTAACCTCTTTGAGTCTTACTTTTCTTATCTGTAAAATGAAAATGATACCACCTAAGTTGTAATATTTTTTTGTGGTGGGGGCTTGCTTGTGATTATTAAAGTAAGCTTATTCAGTAAGCTTAGCATACATAATAGTACCCAACAGATGTTGACAGTTCTTTTCACAGCTAATGAATGGCTGGGCATTAGAGTAGTAAAGATGTAATGGAAGTAATAGGTGTATTAGAGAAGTAAAGAATTTGAACCCATGTAGGGATAGGTAGAAAAGTGATAGAACAAAAGAGAGAATTCATTTATGCCTGTGTAGTAATCATGATACTATTTAACATCAGTAGGTAGAATAGGTGGATTATTTAATAAATGGTCTTGGAAAACTGGCTGGCTAATTAAGGGGAAAAGAAACAAAACTGAATTTCCTACCTTTTTCTGTAATCCAAATACAAATTCTAGATTGTCAGTGGGACTGTTAATAAGCATTCACAAGGTCATACATTTATTATCTTGGATATGGGAAAATGATTTCTAAGCAATGAACAAAATCCAGAAAACATAAAGATATGAACAAATTTGACTTTATAAAATTTTAAAATTACATATGGCCAAAAAATCATTTAAATAAAATTAATAGACATAATCTGGTAGGTATATTTTTAACATACATGTCAAGGACAAATTTCCTAAACATAAAAAAATGTTAATGTCAGAAGAAATATTAACCTAATATAAAAATTGGCAAAATTGGAGCATGCCATTTATAGGGAGGGGAAAAAAAATAGAAAAAGCAACCAATAAAAATTTGGAAAGATTCTTAGTCTCACTTGTGAGTAAAAAAATATGCAAATTAAAGCAATGAGATACCATTTTAAAACAACTGTTAGGTTTGTAATTATAAAGAGCTTGATAACACCAAGCATTGGAGATGTGGGACACTCAAACATGGCTAGTAGAAATGTAAACTTATTTAACGATTTTGGAGTGTAGTTTGGCACTGTCTTTTAAAATGTCAAGTACATATATCATTTGACCCAGGAATTTTACATTAAAGAATTTTCCCTAGCCGAAATCAGTTTGACTCAATGGATAGACCGTCTACCTGCGGACTGAAAGGTCCCAGGTCAAGGGCATGTACCTTGGTTGCGGGCACATCCCTAGTAGGGGGTGTGCAAGAGGCAGCTGATCGATGATTCTCTCTCATCTATGTTTCTAACTCTTTACTCCTCTCTCTTCCTCTATGTAAAAAATCAATAAAATATATTAAAAAAGAAAAAAAAAAGAAAAAAGAATTTTCCTTAAAGGTATATTAGCAGTAAGTATTCACAGCTGAGTGAACAAGGATATTCATGACGGCATTGTGTAAAATTGCCAAACAAAATAAGACCAAAAGAAACAAACTGAATGTCCTTTAATGGTGGACTGGCTAAAATAAGTCATAGTACATTCTCACATGCAGAAGGTTACGGTGAAGCCATTAACAAAGCTGAGGTAATCTTACATAGGCTGATGTAGAAAGATGAAGGAGATATTGGTGAAAAAAGCAAGTTTTAAATCACTCTAAGTATGATATTCTTTATGTTAAAAAAAGCCTTAGAAATGCTGTATTCATGCTTATATATAAGCGAAGCGTTTTTCTACGAATACCGCCTTCCCTCTCCCCTCAAACAACAACAACCACCTGTTAATAATAATAATTGCTTTGGCATGGGGAAGGAATTTGAAGGATTGGAGAAATGGATAAATTTGGTCATTTTAGTTTATACTCTGCTGCATTGCTTGGACTATTATTTTTCTTTTTATATGTATATCTGACAGTATCAATCAAACAAGATAGAATCACGTTGAAAGGGGAACATTTTCACACTGACTGGTGTGTCTCAGTTTCTTGGAGTGTTGTTCTGTAAACCAAAAGGTGGCGGGTTCAGTTCCCAGTCAGGGTACATGCCCAGTTTGCAGGTTTGATTCCCTGTGGGCGCTTATGGAGGCAAGGGATCTCCCTCTATATATATATCCCTTCTTTTCAAAAAAAGAAAAAAGAAAAAAAAAAGCACAAACTTTCAGTTATAAAATAAGTAGATCCAGGCATATAATGTACAATATAGGGAATACAGTTAACAATATTGTAAGAACATTGCACATTGATTGATGGTTACTAGACTTGAAGTGGAGATCACTTCATAAGATGTACAGATAAATGTTGAATCACTGTTTTGTACACCTGACACTAATTTTGTATGCCAACTATATTTTAAGAAAAAATAAAGTATGTTCATTAAAAAAATCAATAAGAAAAGAAAGAGGAACATTTTCAAAATGAGAGGGTAGTCTCTCTGTTGTTCCTTATGGCTAGTATGTGTACATATTTACAAACAGTTCTGGCTTAATATTTAAGTAAGGAAATACTTAGGAAGTATTGTAGTATAAACTACATGTTGATATTACTGGGATCCTAGAACTATTTTTCCTGAATTCTAGTTGGCATCATTGGGCTACTAACTGCATGCTCTTTGGTCTCTTTCACAATTCTAACTGCATGCTCTTTGGTCTCTTTCACATTTCTT